GTTATTGTGAAATGAGGACTGGTGGTGGATTAGAGTGAGCTCAGATTAAAAAGTTTGGTTAACCAAGAAATTGACATCCCTTCAGCACTGTTGCTTGCTAATGCAGTTATAAAAAGTTTTTGTCAATAAATGATTCCCACTTAATGGCCTGAGGCTTCTCCTGCTGAAATGAAATCATAAAAACAGCAGCAACAACAGGTGCAGTACTGTTTTAAATAAAGTAAAAAACCAGAATGGTATTAGGTTATAATCTCCTAATAGCATGCATTTGTAATTAATTGAAGCAACGTAACTTAAAAAGATCTGTGTAGCACAGCAGCATATCTCATGAGCACTGTGAAGAACAAGACACAGTGCGATGCCTGAAGAGGAACTGTGCCAGAATAGGTAAGGTACTTTATTAATAAAAGATGAGCTCAGTATTAGATGTGATTAAATCTGTAAAGTCATCAGAGTTACCAAGTACTGTAGCAGCCAGCCAGCTAGCAGCCACCTAGCTAATAGTGTAACTGATCCAGACCTGCATTTCATCCGAGCTAGAATTTATCCTGAGAAATGGTACTGAACAAGGGTGTAGCAAAGAATCAAAAATCTACAGAAGCTTGTCATCTAGAATTAGTTTTTGTGTTTCTACCAAAATTTATTCTATATTTAAACAGATGTATGCATGACTAGAGAGCTTTAGTGTTCCCTGGAAAATAAGAGACCAATGTGCTAATTGTGATACTGTTAACACCTTCACAATCTCTTCTTACCAGTGGAGTCAGCAGCTACAAGACGTAACTCCAAAATGGATCTTTTTGGTGATATTTTAAATATAGATGTCAGTTACTGCAGTAAATCAACTACACTGTAGAGCTGTGCATCTTTGTGGACATTATATATCTCCATATTCTTGAAACAAAGGTATTACTCCGTGAAGTTACAAATGTTTCAGATTCGTATGGTTCTTTCATAACCCTAGTTATTCATGGGAAAAAAAAGGGGGGGGGGGGGGGTGTTTGACACAGCTTATGAAAATACAACTAATTCTTGTAAAATGAAACTTTATTCTAAAATGTATCCAAAATTGCAAGACACAAGCACCATTAAACAGATAAATAGACATATATTTATGTACAGAGAGCATCAAACACAGAACAATTGTTAATATAATTCTTATACCATTTTAATGAGTATCCATCAATAAAATTTTACAATTTAAAGAAGACTTTTCAGTTGCAAAACAGTTGTAAAATCATATGTATAAATTATGTTTACTACAATTGCAATAACAGAAGCAAAGTAAAATACAAAAATAATACTGCAAATTCAAATACAAAACTCAAAGTAATGCTGCACAGGTACATACGTACACTGGATGAATTCATGCAGCTAGGCAGTGCAACAAATTAACTGCTGAGTTTAACTTATCACAAATGGAACAACCATGTTGGCAAACAGAAGCAGATATATTTTTGTAATAAATCATAGTGCATTTTGAAGTTAGACTTTATGATTGTTGAGTGATACACTTCTAAAATTCCCCATGAGAACTGAGATTCCCCAACTCATCTCCTGCAAAATGAAATACAAATGACGAAAGCTAAAAAAAACCCCACTGTAGTAGAGAGTCTGATCTGCTGGTACCATCTGGATTTTATTTTTTTAAATTCTTGGTATCAGACTTGTTTGCAAGTGTCCATGTCCACAGAGACATGCAATTACTCCTTGCTACCACATGTAAATCTTCATGCTCCAATGCTATCTCCATAAACTGAATCACACAGACTGCACAGGTTCAAAAAGACATAGCTGAGCCTTGAAAAAAAAGAACTCTTGAATCCCTGTGAAGTACAGAGAGAGAGTAAAATGGAAGGTAGAGAGGCCTTGTTATTCCTGAAGCTCCTATCCCCAGTTGCTTTAATTACATAAACACAGATAACATAAGAGGATTTTATGGCTTGGATGAAATTTCTGCTGATTTACTGGGCAAGCGCAAGGCCCTTTCACAGTGCAGAAGGCTACAGTGTTTTGGTTGGCGAAAGGAAGCCTCAGGTGACCATGTAGAAAAATACTTCTGTGGTGAAAACAAGTTAAAGAAACAGAATCAAAACAGAACTTGAAAACTGATTTCTTATGTAACTACAATACTAAAACATGGCTGTTCCCCTTTCAGTGCTGCGTTGGCTGAACATGTAGATATGACCAAAGTTCACAGCTCATTGAATATTACTGGTTAAGTGTCAAAATTAAATGAGATACAATTACACAGTCCTTAAAATCTTAAAAGTGATAAGCACGCTCAGTGTTTCTACTAGGAAGTTACTGCTAAAATGCTACATTTCTTTGCTGAGAAGACATGAATTTACAGCAGTCTGTAAACTACTGTAGAGTTGATCCTTGCATCCTTTGTGCTCCAAACCCCTTTTTTCAAGCCATCACTAACTTTCAAGTTAATGGGAATTTCGAGCAAAAAAGGGATGCAGAAAAACACCTGTATTGGGTAAACCATGCAGCAATTTATACAGCAGCATTTTTGACTTTCCAGCATGCAAGTACATGTTAAGAGTGAGGCTAAGCGACGGCATGCACTGCAGTGACATGTCATTGTGCTTATGTCTGGTAAGTATCCTATGGTATTTTCACCTGGGGAAAACATAAAGGTTAGCCCCAGAAGATTCAAAACATGATATACAAGCCTGTATTCGTTGTAAATTGTATATGCTCATATATTTTTGCTCATACCACCTTGAGATACTGAATAGCAAAATAGTAACTGAAGATGCCAATGTTAATGGAAAGTTAAGTATTAAAAATAAATGATTGCTGGAGAAGATACGTTTCTACTTTTCCTGGGTGATGACCTTGCTCACCTTCCCTCCATTAGATGACAATACCCATCAAGATACTCAAGAACATGGTGATCCACTGAGAAAACTGGATGCGTGTCAGACAACAGACAGAATGGCTTTATCCACCTGAAAAGTTGTCAAAAAGTGAGAAGTGGCTGCCACAGCAGTTTTCCCCACTACAACTGTTTACCTGTGGCCCAGAATTCACTGAGAACCCACAGTCACTGGAAATTCACACCCATCTTCACGCAGAGATGACGCTAAGATAATCCGTGAATGTAAAGTTTTGGTCAAGTTCAGCACTTGAAATATTGAACAACAGAGCAGGGATTGTACTACCATATTGTAAAAAAATCCTCAATTCTTCTATTCATAGCTACACCAGATGTGTATAATTTTCAACACAGAATGACTTACAGTTTGGGAAATAAAGCAAATGTATAAATACCACTCCTGTTAAAACTCACAAAAAAAATTACACCCACTTTTGTGTGATGAAGTTATATGGCAACTTCAGCTGCTGTCTCAGGCCCAGCTGTGAGAATGTGGACTCTTCATAAAGGTGACAGGGTGCAATTTTTAATCTTCAACTGTTCCTCAGCTTTCAGCAAGAATCAGTACAACTGCTTATGATTTCGTACCAGCAGTTAAGTGAAGAAACGTATTCAACTTAGACTAGAATAACGTAGATGTTCACCGAAACCCTGAGGTGGAACCTGCTATAAATTTACTTTGCTAACCCACAGTAACACTGATGCAAAGACCTCCTCGTTTCCAAACCAGCATGTGAAATCATACAGATGTACTAAACATTTACAAAAAATCCCCACCATAAACTGCCATTACTACCTGCATTCTCACAATCCTGAGGATCTTCTAGATTTATTCCTTAAAGCTCCCAGGAAAGGAATCTTTAGCCATCCCAAGAAATGTATGAACATTAGTATCTTTGTTACAGTCTCACAGAGGCTTAATTTAAAAGCATCATATGCTATGTCTGGTGTTGATTCCTCTGTGCAATGGTTTCATCCTGTGTTGTTTTCAATGAATGAATCAGTGCAGGCAAAGAGTGAGAGTGCAACTGATATAGGGATGTGAAGCTTGGATTCATTCCACCTAATTCTAGGCAGTCAAAAGCATGCAGGTTTCACCAGTGGAGAGGGAAATCTTCCAGAGGCATATCCTCTTCTGTTCCACCTCTGACGTACAGAATAGACGTAGGCTGGCAATTTTTAAGCAGCTGAAATTAAGGTAGGATGAATCAGGCCACAGTTTGGAGCAGAAACATGCCTGATGTGGTAGAATGTATTACCATTACAAAACACAGCCTGTCAGCCTTGTCTGAGGCTCCAAACCAGATAAACTTTTAGGGTTAGTGATGCACACAATCCTTGCAAGCTCACCAGTCTCACAAGGATCTTTTAAAAGATAAAACAGTGAGACTAGATTTTATGACCTTGGTTTTATGAGCTGGGCAGCGTGTTGGACCTTTCAGACTACTGCCCTTCTGAACCCATCCCAGAGGCTGCTTGTAAATGTTTCGCTTAAGGTCTGGAGAAGTTCACAGTTGGAGTGGTTACTCATCCAATTATCATTAATGTAAATCAAATCAACATGCACACGTGTCAGTGTATTTATGATGTTGTGGGAATTTGTTATCTCTATGCTTTTGAGCAATTTTGGCATGGCATGTATTCACTCTCTCCAGTAGATGCTGATAGTGAAGCACACACTGAGGAGAAATACAGGTGTTTGGAAATACACAGCATTTGTGAGACCCCCAGTCTTATCAGTATTAATGCTTAAGGTCAGAGGCAGTATCAAGTTTAAAATGTATTTTCTATGTTAATATTTATATTGATAAATTTAATTTGTGCTGGTTTGGAAAACAGCTGATGTTTCCTTTCCTTCCAGAGACTGGAGTGTAAACATTAGTTTCATTTCTGATACTGAAAATTATTCTTTTTCTAAAATACACCTGCCTAATCGTTCAGATGTGACCTGCAAATACTTGAGACTGGGATTCCCGTGTTGTTTTTTGTTTTTTTTTTTAAGGGCTGAAATAATAGTAGAAACTTTTTTTTTTTTTGATCTTAGAGGGAATTTATCTACACACTGGCTTGGAAGCATCAGGAACATTTATTGAAAGTACTCAGTGTGAAAGGGTGAAGGTGCAAAGTCATTAACAAAGACTGCCTTTATTCAAAACATTAACCTACACATTTAAACAATCAATAAAAACATATAAAACACAGAATTTAAAATAATCAAAGTAATTATCCCCTTCAACTTTCCCACTTGTTTCACTTTTCTCATTACTGTCTTTCAGTCTAGACAGGACTTGAATGTCAGAAACCAGCAAAGAACACACACACATTTTCGGGTCTTTGTTGTATATCATAAAATAGTAATAAAAAATAATCCAGCATCCAAGAATTTGGATTATTTTTCTATCTCCATAAACAGACAAATAATTAAATTCTCCTTAAAACACTGCCACACATAAAACCCATGGTGGCTGGGGACAAGGACACAATACAAAGGCAGTGCTTTATCCCGTGCATACCCTTAGAGATGGGTTTCTGTCCTGGCACTGATGCAGTTAAAAAGCACACACTGCATATCTGGCATGGAGCCACGAAACGTGCTAACCTGCAGCTGCCTGTTGTTTGCTAAAATCCAGCCCCCAAAAGGGTATGAGCTGGGTTGAATTCTCTTACATTTAATATTCCTGCAAATGGCTTATATATTTGCTGTTTGAAATAAATTCTGAAACCACTAAGCGTGCTTAACAAACCTTTTACCTATATGTGAACAGCAAGTTTCGAGGAGAGAACAGGTACTGTTGTAGTATAAAATACACATGGCTGTACAATCAAATGCCACCTCTTGCTTCAAAACAATTTACAGTAGTAAGCAATGGTGACAAGGATTCTTACACAAAACCTACAGGAATTTACAGAATATGCATGGATCACTGAGGTTATAATGCCAGCAGTAGACTACACAGAGTATCTTGTGCAATGTGAACAAAGTTGACAATAGTTTACCAATGCTTTAAGTAATTCACATAAATATGCTAACCCACCAGCTATCAAACCCTCCTCCTCTTCCCACCATAAACAAGTGTTTGCCAGATGCATACACAGCAATCCATAGAAAAAAAATCTATTTGTTTTTGTGTTTTTAGGCAAACATGCATGAAATAGATGCACTGCAACAATTTTGCAAGGGGATACTTGCCACAAAAAAAGCCCTCAAAATTGGTCTCTAAGCATATACAGCATTTTAATTAACCCTTCTCAAATAGCCACTACAAGGCTAAAAAGTTTATTTTATGGATAATAAAAATGTACTTGCTTCTCAACTAACAGACAATTTCAGCTTCCACTTTACTTATGCCACTCTTCCATGTCTGTATTTTAGCCTTAGTTTAGGAACTTGTATTCTCTTCCTTAACCGTCAAGGTACTCATTAATGTAAATTAATATAATCATTAATGTAAATCAAATCAAAGCTACAAGTTAATCAGAAAAATTAAAATAGACTGGGGAACAACTTATACTTGCTTTTGAACATCATGTTTATTGACAACAATTTAGCAAACATGGCTTTGCTTTTCTGCTAAGCTGTTGGACACGCTCTACTCTCCTGTTACAGATTGACTTTGACACCCACTGGAAGGACATTTGCACTTTGCTCAGCTGTAACAAAAGGGGTGGCCGGTGGATAGGGCAGCCCCTGGTCCACAACGTGCCTGAATCAAAAAGACCAGCCTTTCTGCTGGGGATTAGAGACAGCAGGATCAGGATGCACCTCTGCTTTAAGAAAGAGAGCAGCTATTGAACCCTAGCTACCAGTTTTGCTGATATGAAGCTTGTTACCAGTAATGTACTTTCCAAGCTATGCCAGTAAAAACTCTACTTCAATTACAGATCACCTGTTTGGATTTTATTTCCTTCCAATCTGCATGGTAAGTATCAGCTTTTGTTTCAAGCTACTATATGCCATTGCTAGAAATCATCTTGCCTTATGTGAGTCTGTGAGAGGCTAACTTTCCTAATCCTAAACAGTAAGAGCTCTCAGGATGCTGCACTGCCACTCCACATTTCTTGTTATGCTCAATGTCTCTAATGAAATAAACTCTCTGTAGTAGGGCTTTAGCTAGAGATTTGAATAACTTTCTGTACTTTTATTGGATCTTATTTTTGTGCAGAGATCTGGGACAGTACATTTAATAGGAAAATCCAAATAAGAGAGAAAAAACCATGAAGATGAAACAGAAATGAAACCTACAAATATCCAGTTGATAATTTGGCTCCTCAAGGATTGGAGCAGTTGTTCCATAGCAATAATTCTTCCCATCAAAAGCGATTGCTGATGATTTCACTCTATAGGGACAAACATAGGTTTGGCCATGGTTATTATTATAATTCCCTCCTAATCTGAGGAACTGTATATATCTCTGTAACAGACCAAACTTCTAAATTGTATGGTCTATTTCCTGGTATACCCAGGGTACTGAGAAAAGGCATCACCTTTCAAAAATCCCCATGTTTTGTGCTGATTCTCTATGAAAACTGGTGCTAAACTGCCAGAGTTTTCTCTAAGCAAAATTATTCTTCTTGTCTCAGCATTGTAAAGTCTTGAAGGATCCCCATACCTAACTGCAAGAAGAATTGTCCCAAGTTCTCAAGAGAACAGCGAGGTAGCGTACGAATACCTTGTTTCTGAGCACAAATTTGGTGGATATTAATTGCCAGTCCTTAATTACTAGACCCTGTGAACAAGCCTGCTTGACCACTCGGTTACTCTTCTGAGAGATACAACCACAGAACCCTGCACAGCTAAGGGGCACCCTTAATCCCCCACAAGATACTGTGAAAACACGCAATAGACAAAATTACATTTGTGAATTGGGCTCTTACAAAATCATACATTAAGCAATCCACTTTTGAGGGTGTGGAAGGAGCTTTCAACATAAAAGTCCAGCTGTAACTAGGCAGTAAATTTTGTTTTGATTTTTCTCCAAATCCACATCTTTCAACATATATTTATGATGCTGAATTCAAATAAATAAAAGGTTTGGGTTTTTTTTCCTCAGTTTCTTTTTCACATAAAAATTAAATAGTGGCTATAAAGTGACCATTTCAAATTATAACTGAAAATTGCATTTTTATTAAATGTGAAAACATGTACCCAAGAAAACCCTTATACATTTTTATGGCAAGTTTTCCCATTACATGAGAGGCTTTCTTACACATTTTAAGCTTAAATTGAAAGAACACTGACCAAACAGAAGTTTGGACTAAAATTGCAAAGCTGTTAGCTATGTTGAGGGAAACTATGGCTGCACAAATGAAAACAAGATGGAAGGACAAGTTCACAAAAATAACTCATGTAGTAGTGAGCAACGCTCTATTAAAATAAGAAACAGAAGAAAGCCAAATCTGTTCTGCGTATCAGTACTACCAATACATAAACATGGCCCTGCATTGGTAGAATCTTTAAAATAATGTCTGCTTAGGGAAGACTAAATTTGAGCTTCTAGACTGTTCATGCTCAAGTATGGTTATAGCATATTAGCAGTCCCACTTTCCTGAAGGATACTGCCTGTATTCTGAAATCTAGTTGAAATTAACCAAGTGCAGGCTTAATTTCAAACAAATCTGCCCATGTTTTCAGGATCAGTTTCAATGTGCTGAACAGATGATTTGTTACTGTTTTGTTTTTTTTTCTTCCCAAGATAACAACACTGGCAGACAATATGCATGCATGCACTCAAAGCAGTGTTTCAGATAAGGACCTTTTCTTGTTTTTGTTTTTGGTTGTTTTTTTTTTTTTCAGGTTGAGACATCAATTTCGTAATTTCAACAGACCCCCTATATTTTGCTTTGTGTATGCAGTTTATACATCTGCCAAATGTCACACCTTGGATAAATTACATATTTCATCAAGATCAGGGTGAAATCCTACCAAAAAAATGTCCTTACATGAGTGGTTTCATCTATTTCAGCAGGACAGCTGGCATAAGCAGCAGCTTACAAGGTTGTCAGGAAAGTAGAGGAAGCCGCACACAGTAACATTTAAATCTAACTCATTCATTTCTGAGTGCACTGAATCTTTACAGTTGTTTCATATCATTAAAGCCTGAATTAGATCCTTAAGTGTGATCACTCTGAAGAGAAATGAACTGTCACTGTTGGAAGAGTATTTTTGAGTTTTATTTGGAATATGTGCTTTTGTCAGGATTCTCATCCTTTGGGCCTGACCAACCACAAGTGGGTTTGGAACAGGAGCCACGGCATTTCATCACTTACAGTGAATGAAAGAAAAATAAATTTACCTGCGCTAATCTCTTTTTTCTTTTTCTTTTTCATTGTTAAGCTCCATTTTACGTTCTCAAAATGCAAATGTGTAAGGTCAGATCTTGGAAGACTCCAGTCCTTATTTAGCCGCCACAACAAAGAAGAATGAAAGCTGACTAGGAACAGGAGATTACACTTAAAAATAATTAACTGAGCTGAGAAACAGAAATAGCTGCAACATGTACCAGCTGAAAATTCATTTTGACTGGCAAAGGGAAAAAGAAGAGTAAAATGTTCAACACTGAATACTGGAACAGCTCATTAAATTACCCATCTAATTCCAAATCATCTTTACAGGCAGTATTTCATTTGCAAGCCACAGAACAGGGGAAAATTCAAATGATTTCTAGCCAGTTCAAGAAGCTGTCCTTTTGATACATGAATTGCTATACATAAAGAAGCAAGACTGTTCCCTTCTTCTTAGTTTGAATTAGTTGAAATAAATAAATAAACAGCCTGCGTATTTCCACTGCAAGGGAAAACAACAGCTGGATATCTTTGGACATGGGGCATTTCATTCTACATTGAGGCAAGCAGGCTGGTTAAGTCTGAAAGCTGTTGCCATCTCTGAGTGTGTGATCCAGTGCTGGTCTGGGCTCTGCAATCAGAAGGGCTTCCAAACAAAAAATGGCAAATCTGGCCTCAGCCACAGGCTGATGGGACGATCCTCTGATCTGGGGACTGTCACTCTGAGATTCCCTCAAGTCTACTTGAGGCACATTTATGTCACTGGGGAGCATGTCAAAGACTCAATGCTATTGAATGTTATTGCCATGTTTTTTACACGCACCAAACTCACTGTACAGTGGAACGGGAAACACAAAGAGTGCAACTGCATTTCTTCCTCATGCTCCTTCCATTAAGAAAATAATATAACCCCTGCATGAAAATATCCACGTATTTTTTTAATGTGCATGTCAAGCTACATGCTTCACATGTGATTCATACGGCTGCTTCTTTGCCCTAAATCTGGTTCTTGCCTACACAAGAATTAGACACGGAGACAAAATCTGGGTAAGAACACTCCTTTTCATAGGCTTATGATGCAGATAAAATTTCACAGTGAAATTCACAAGTGAATCCTAATTTCAGCTGATTTGTACAAGGACAGACTATTTGCCAGAATTCTCACAGTATGAGACATCCATTACTCCCTATTTCTGCTACTCTAAGGTTTCATTACTTCTGTCTTTAAAAAGCCTTACTCTGACTTTGCCTGAAAGAACCTTTTACAGGACCATGGATGATCTATTTATTACTGTATTAATAAAGAGAAATCTACATAAAAATGAAGTGTAGAGAAAATATCCTGCATCACTTAAAATAGAATTCCTCCCAGAGCTGGACAAGTTCTGACATCAGTAATGCTGTTGTGTAATAAAAGGTATAAACGAGCAGTTACGTTACACACTGGTGTCTAATGTATTAGAAATGTAAGTGGGAGTAAGTTAATGCATGAAAATAAGTCTTTCCACATTAATGCTCTAGATGTGTTGCAAACCCTACAATGATTTATAACTGAAAGAAGTGAACAAGCAAAGAGCTCTATGCATATTAGAAAAACAAAACAAAACAACACCCAAAGGGACACCTATATTTTTTAAAGTTGAATATTTATCATATAAGACTGCTTTCTTATAGTTCAGCTGCAGAAAACTATGTATGGTATTATCACCTGGGCTTGCCAATGCACATGTAAGTAATTATACTCATGTGCATAAGCATAGGGGTATAAGCATCCGCTACAGAAGGCAAGATGATTAGGTTTCATTATAGCTGATTAAAATTCTAGCAATTAAGATATGCGAGATTAAGAGTATTCAAGGAGGTTTTCTAAATCTATAATTTTGCAGGCTTGCATATCTTTTGTTCCCCCAGTCTGTGGGATTATGTACAGATGAGAGGTGCTGGACATACCTAGTAACTAGCAGAGAAGGACAGGCTACAAGAAGCAGGGCCTGGTCCTGTTCATTTTGAAGCCAGGAATGTATTTACCCAGATTAACACTGCAGGATCAGTGTAACAGTATTATAGATGTTTTGATCTGTATAAATGGTTTGGAAAAGAAATGGAAAGGGGAAACAAAGACATGATGGCAGTAAGAAACATTGTATAGAAAGGAGTTTGAAAAAGCCACAGAAGAAAACGCATGTGCCTGAAAGGATGTTTTCTATATAAACTAGGATAAGATATTTCTAAAATTTTATTCAATATGTGCTGGCAGTTGCATTTAAGGTGCTTCTCTGCAGAGGTTTAATTTAATGGTCAGACTTTCATCCTGAACAGGGGCCTACAAGCTAAAATATTACAGACAAAGCAAAATTCAGAAAAGAAAGGAAAAAAAAATCAAGACTGATTAATCTAAAACCTTACTCTGATTAATAATGCTCAGCAGCACATACTCTGTCTTGTAAAAGAGCCCTCAGTGATACTGTCAGGTGGTCACTGAACACACTGCTTGCCTGCTGGAGCTTCAGCTTGCACAGGACAGCACAGGGGCTTCCCGGAGATACGGAACAGACCCCACATGCATTCAGCAGTGTAAGATCTCACTCTGGGGCACACTTGGTGCATGAATGGGCTTTGGCACTTGATGCATAGTACAGGTGTATCCTTTTATCTTAGTCCAGTGGCAAGTGACCACCTGGCTGGGCACAAAAGTCCTTCTTGGAGTACTACCATGGATAATACAGGTGTCAAATGCAGGCTGCAAGGACACCTGGACTCTGCAGTGCACTGGGGACACAGCCACTGAAATCAGTGGTATCAGTGAAAACAGCAAATGATCTGAGGAAATTAGATCTGATTTTTGTGGTTTTGTAATTCAAATCAATAGCAGGGGCTTCTCGCATCTTTTCGGACAGCAACAGAGTATTTTACAAAGATAAGCAGATGAATGCAACCTTCATAATCACTGGGAAGTAAGTCCACAAAATCATGTAATGATTATCTAGTTTATGTTTACAACAAATCAAAGTAGTTATTATCACTTAAAAGTGATGCTGCCAAAATCTTTGATATTTTAAGATAATTTTAAGCCTCCAAGAGTTTCATCTAAGAAAGTAACAAGTGTTACACCTTTTTATTTTCATATATTATATATATATTATATTCATATTAGACATATATAATATATGTAAATAAAAATGAGCTAGGAGATTGTAGTATTCCTTGCACACCCCAGTGTGTGCAGCTGCTATCACAAGGAGTCCATTACATTCCCTTCCTTATTGTAAGTTCATGAAAAAGAAGTCCATGCAAGCCTTCACAGCTATAGCAAATTTCAGAATTGCTCCTCCGATGTAAGTGGCTCTTCTATATGCAAAGTGCAAGGAGGAGACTTTGTTTTCTGTCTGTGGCATGAACTTTTATTCAGCCTCTTCCTGGCCTCATTGCTGTTCATCAACCTTTTGATCACTACACAACTGAAAACTTTTGTTTTCTTGCGGGAGCTGGAAGTCATTAAGAACTACATGTGCCATAACCTTGGTTTTAGAGCTTTGCCTGAAGAGACATGGGATTGCTTTCAGTAACATTTCCTTTAAGACTGTAAGCCCTTTCTCCATTCTGTCCTCAGCTGTCATGTCTGACACAGGCGACATCCTTATAAAATGGACCACACCATATTTTCTCTTCTGTTCATGGCAAAAGTGAGACCCTCACAAGGCCACCAGTCATAAAAAGCTTACTGCATCATTTTGGCTATTAAAAAAAAAAAAAAGGGAAGAAAAAGGCTGTTTACTGAGAATTTTGAGGGAATTATTTCTGGTAATGATGTGACGAAAAATACACACCTGAATACTAGGGTGACCTGATTTTCTGAATGGGCTTGGGAAATGCTGTTTATAGTAGGATTGTTACCATCGGTTGAGAATCAGTGAAAATGGGAAAACATAATTGTTAGAAAAGGTTTTGGTGATAAGGACTCTACTGCACAATCACCCCTATGGAAGATCATGCTAAATACAAAACTCATTACCAAGGGCAGAAGAAGCCCTGACGTTTTATTACTAGATTCTATAGCAATTGGAGCTCACTTACAGTAACCTTGTAGTACTCTATATAAACTGAGAATCTTGTTTCAAATTCAGGCTTCCATTTAAAATAGACATTGCAGATATTAGGCTTCAATTAAAGAAGAAAAATAACCCTCAGTGCTTCTTTTTTAAAAGGCAAAGTATAAAAAAAATCCCCAAACTAAGTGAAAATTATTAAATTTCTCAAAAAAAAATTTAAGTTGAGCTTTCTTCTATTTCTTAAGACAGTACAATTTGTAATTCACAGGGTGACTGGTATCAAACACAAGTTAATGAAAGCTCTTATAAGCAATTTTATTCCTATCTATAATGGCAGACATTAACAAAATCAGAAGAATTTATCATTTGAGTTCACCATAAAAAATAACTTATAAAGCAGTGACATATGCAACATAAAACAGTTCAGGAGGAAAGAGGGAAAGCAAATTTTAATAATTAAAATGTAAACGTGGAAAAAAAAAGGAATAAAAGTCCCTACTTCTCATTTCTAGTTAAGATGTCATATTATTTTATAATGTCCTGCAGGTCTATGTATGTATGTGTGTATTTCTGTATCACACAGACATACATATATATCAACCCACACATGTACATACACAGATAATTGTTTGCAGTTCCATCTTGGGCAGTTCTCTTAATGCCACTCTTTATGGTTATCTCAATCATGTTTGGGACCCACTTTCTTGACAAAACGGGGGAGATGGTAGGAAAAAAAAATAAAGGTGGATCTGATTGTGTCTGAGATCCTTTTGTTAAACTGTACACTGGGACGAATAATTTTCTTCTGCAGTAGCTCTCTGAAGAGGGCCAACTCACTGTGGTCTTCATGGCGAGACTTGTTAACGGATCACACACTCATTGTCATGCTAGGGGAGTACTGGAAAAAGAGGAATCCACATTTTAACAAACATTTTTCTGGCGTGCCCCCCCCCCCCCCCCCCCCCCCGTAACTAAACCCAGTTCTGGACCACAGCAATGGGTTCACATGTCAACATGTTCTTTGAACTTCCTTCTAAAATTGTCCTGTAGCCTGAGGCTGTAGTTCAATTTGTGGTATTATAACTTGTGTGATACTTCTCTCATTATGTGAAAGTACAGCTATTGCTGATAAAGTCAACTTTCTTGAAGAGTGTTTTGGTCTTACCTGGGTAGTGTGATGAACCAATACCTCACTGATGCTTTCCACATATTTTCCTGGTCAGTGCTGGATACTGGGGGGATTTAACTTATGTCAAGAAGACCTGCTGTATTTATGGTTAGGTGAACCATATAAATATTTTGGACAGCTTTTTATTACTTTATGGGAAGAAAGGAGTAAAGGTATGTAAGGCTGGAATTAAACTAGGCTTTTGGTCTGCATTATTCTGTATTACCAATTTTAGGAGGCAAACTGGAGGCAAAGGATCAGTGGTCATTCTCCTTTATGTGAAACAAAAATTCCGTCACCACATTATATTATTACTGTAACACAAATTGAACTGCAGCCCTTATACAAGCTATAGTTTCCCTCAAGTTAGCAGTACTTCATCGCAGTAATCAATGGGACACCACAATGCCTAGAAGAAGTGCATATCTATATGTCTAATTTGTTTTTAAATTGAAAACTGCGGACTGCAGCAACACTTAATTTGGCTTAAATCTTCTAAGTAAAGGAAAAGTTCAAATGCAAGAAGTATTAGCATTGTGAAAACTGATATAAGAAACAGAAATATAAATTTGCCTTTGCAAGAACAGATATGCAATAAAAATATTGCCAAAGCTAGAGTTTCAAGCTGGCCATTTCTAAACAAGCATATTACAAAAAAAAACCATCTTGGATAGGACTTCCCAGTCATGTAAACTATATAGAATGGACTATTTGGGTACGGTAATGGACTACTTAGGTAAAGTCTATTTATGCCTTGTCATGTCTCTGACGTTTTGACTGCTTTAGGGCTACTTCCATCATGTCCTGCTATGCTTATCTTTAGCAACAGAGACCAGCTCAAATGCTTAAAGCAAAGCCTATGTTTAAGTAATTTCCTGTACTGAGCCAAAGTACCTAAGTAATGACTTTGGATAAGGAATCAAAAGATATCTAAACACAGCTGTGATTTTCAACTTACTATTAGCCACACACTGTTCCCCACCCCCAACCAAAACTCTTGGTGAACAGCAAATTTGCATGAGAAAGACTTCATAATAATGCCTACTCTAGCCAAGTAATAAAATACAAAGCAGAAAGCAAAACAGTTCCCAAGGACTACAATGTGACTCATGTTAGAGAGGAACCCATACCTAAATGTACGTGGCATGTATAATGACCGCCTTGTACTTATACATCTCATGTAAACCTTGGGAAAACTGAGTCCCAGGTTCTTCCAGGTAGATAAACAACATCTAGGTCCACGCAGAATCCAGGAAGTGTCTGACAAAACTGATCTACTTTTGAGTACAACTGATGTCCTTCTTTCCATGACCTTAGTTTGCTAAACTCTCCTGCCTGCTGATCAGGCTGCCTGCCCTCAGTACAAGCAAAGTATGCCAAATTGAGAGTCAAGGATTACATTTAATGGAGATTCTGTGCTGACCGTTTTTTTTTGGCAGATGTTTTTGGCAGAAACATCAGCCTTTTTGAGTTGTAAAAAACATTTTTCTTGAATACTCCACACAATCAGAACATGTGAATATGTGCCCTGGCAATGAAGACATCAACAGCTATCATGCAGAAAGTCTGCCTCTTCACTAGATTAAAAAAGCAAACCCACCCCATGCCCAATATGATTCCCATTAAATTTGCCTTGAAATTCAACTGTTTTGTGATCGGACAGTTTAGTTGTCAATATCTGAGCTGAAGTTCACCACTCCACAGTTAATGAAGTTGCACTCACTTTGGGCAGCAGTGATTTCCAATAATAATAGAAGTGTTGAAGTCACTCAGCACTTCTGAAAAATCAGGTCACTCCTATTTAGGAACCTAAATGTGGATTTAGAAACCCAGCTTCAGACACATGAGTATGAAAACACAATGGGCTTGCTCTGTAATGTAATTTATACCACATTTTGCTGCCTCAAGCATTTTCCATTTCAAAAAGCCTGAATGAACACTAGAGGGAACCTTTGCTTTTTCTGCCTGTAACAGGACATTGCATCTTTGCAACATGAGATCTACCCATGCTCTGATCATATCCTTCAGTGAAAATCCTGTTCCAAAAGACATTCCCTACAAAACACATTGTTTGCGTGTTGAAGGCTGGGCAGCCACACATTGAAAACACTCAGGTGTAAGGATCTGTTGACTATGTGTATTTAGGCTGCTTAGATACTGCCTAACAAACACCCACTGTGCACTACTGAATATGTGACGCATAATTATTACTTTTTAACAGATATTTCAGTGATAACTGATCTCTTAATCTGGAAATTTCTGTAGTAAATCTACACTTCCCACATTTTCCAGTTTCAGCTAAACTTCTAGCAGTCTTTTGCACAATGTTTTGCCAAATCTATAAATACTGTAATTTTAGAACCTAATAAGAACATGAGGCAAATTAGTGCTTTAGAAATAACTACAAAACTGTTTGTTATTGCTGTATTTTTTCTTTTTTTAAACACAATTACAGAGCTAAAGTTTCACAAAGTAAAAGGAAAGAACAAAACAAACAATAAAACAGGTAAAGAAATACTTACGCTCTCACTCTGAAAAGGGTTGAGGAAGTTTCCACCCATCTCACCATCATCTCTGGGAGTGCCAGGCTGATTACTCATGCTCATATTACTGGGAGAGTTCTGTTAAATAAGATTTTAAAATACAGATTAAGTGTTGAAGATTGCAGTCCATTTCCCAGCTTCACCAAGCGTGTCAGACACAGTTTACATGATACTATAGTGCACTAAAATGCACCGTGTAATGCACTGGGATTTTCAAAGATGAAAAATAAGCCTCTGGAGGGTTCTGCATGATTTGGTCACTAATTTTAGCCTGTAAACTGATGCTTCCTAATGACCTAAAGCAAGAATTATTTACCTGCAATTCTTGCTTTCAAGTTATAGCCAGCATCTTCTAAAATTGGGAAGGTTACAATAGCTGCATCAGGATATGAGCCAGTTCTGTTACTACATTAAATCATGTGGCCAAATGCAGTGAAGTCTATGAGTGTGTGCCTTGACATACATGACTTAGAAGTATGTACTTAAAGGCAGACCTATAGATGGATCTGGTCTACACAGACCTTTGCAAAGGCCTGTGGCTGGAGTCTTTCCTCATAGTGTTCACGGTTTATTGAAATACAGTTTCACAAGTACTTCACAAGTGGTGTACAAGTAGTAAACCTCTCAACACAGCTAGCGCACAGCATTCGTAGGTAAAAGAGTTAACAAGAGTCTTGTAGACAAAAGATTCCTGAGCAACAGCTGGACACTGGACTGGGCTCACAAACCCTTTCACAGGAGGAGCTGCACTTTTGCCATTTGCTTGCACACAGCTTAATACAACAGCGTTTTAAGCACATTTTCAGTCTCTAGGTGTGACTGACATACTAATAAATAATGACAATATACAGACTCATGAGGATAAAATTCCTTTTTTCATTTGGTTTTGTTTTTTTTTCTTCTTTACAGAAATGCAGAACCACCTTTGCAATGTTCAGCAATTGCTTTCAGGATTCAGTTATTTAATGAAAGGGTGAAACAACGTAACTGCCACAGAAATTATTCTGAATCAATAGCCAATATACGATTATTGTAGGCATTACAATTAGGTGTTTTTAGAAAGTTGATTGGCGGTACCCTACCATGCCTGGAGCACAGGCTATTCTCTTTCCATCACTGTTAAGATTCCTACTTACAGATGATTTGTGATAGAAAAGGAGCAGTCAGGGAAATTGGGGAGTGAAGTCACGAACGTAAGCATGAAACATTTACGTCTATCACAGTTCTTCTGTCTTTTGATCCAGAAAACGGAATGCAATATTGCTGTTGAGATTTTACTTATACAAGTGCAAATCTGGTATATCATAATAAATTCAACACAAACCTAGTGCAGTCAATGGGCAAGCTAACAAAATGTAACTCCCAAGTAGTGAACTTGATCAAAATGACCAAATGATAATGGCTGTAAGAATCCTAAGTGAATTTGTCCTCTCCTTCTTATGTTACCTCAATTATAATCCTCTATGCTACATTTGTTAGCACAAAAGATTTAAAAAAAAAAAAAACAACAAACAAACCAAAGAGGTACTTTGAACTTTGAAAATACCTGCACGCAGTCTTCATTTAGTATAACTAAACCTGCAATAGGTCAAACTTAGAATGAAAAACTGGAAACATTAAAGAAAGATAAAGTCCCCTTCATTCCTTGGCACTTCCCCTAGAACTACAAAGGCTCTCTATACTGGCACTTTAAAGATGTACACTGGAGTGCTCACTGAATAGAAAAGGGGATAGGACAGTTATGACTTCTTCTGCATGCTCCTCTTTCACCATATTCCCCTGAGGGAAGATGACCATTCTCAGTCTGAATGGCCAAGTATGTGTATGAGTTCATCTTGGTGTATTTTCACTTGTAGGTTAAATATAAAATTAATTACACAAGTGACATGCAAACGTAACTTGTTTATTAGCATATGAAATGCAGCTTCTAACATTGGGTCAAAACCCCTGACCCAAGCCTTTTGTTTTCTTCAGCCCAGTTCACTGCCTCTCAAACTGATCCCCAGATCTCCAGAAATCACTGGGCAACACATCCATCAAAGACAAGTAAAAGCCTAACTAGATGAATAACATCAGACAATTAAGTTTGCTATTCAGTGAAGTTAGTACTGCAGATATTTTGGGATCCACAGCTTGAAAAATGTTGAAAATACTGCTTTGGTTCAACCACAGCTACTGTACCTTAAGCAGGAATTAATTCAGGGAAGTCTGGTTGCCTGCATTATGCAAAGGGTCATTCTATAGAGATTCAGTCCCTTCTCACCTTAAAATCTATGAATATAAAGTTTAAAACTCACTAAGGCCTTGTCACATTTATTTTATGCGATGCTCCCACATTTTTGTTCATTCCTGGGGCATTTACCCCTCTTTTATCTTGCTCTGCGTAGTGCAAAGCGTTGAAATTCTGCAGTTGCTGGAGCACACCAGCCCCAAAGGTTCAAATTCCTGACATAAACACTTCTGTAGCAACTCCTCTAGGCTGCTTTTATGGACAGTATGGGGTCCAGCCTTATAGCACTAGCTGGGTTTCTCCAAAGCAAGAATGTCTTTGATGCCTGTACAAATTCTATGGGCACTTCAAGTATCACTAGTTATTAATGTTTATTTAATATGCATAATTTCAGCTCATTTACTTCCCCCATCTTAATCTACTTCATAAAATCTTAATGTTTTGATGTTCAGCCAATTACAATAAAATCTTCTCTAGAAAAAAACAGCTCTGAAATCTGTGAGATAAACTGATTCTACCAACACTGGGTTGATTTTCCTAATCTCTTGGGAATGTATCATCTGCTCTTCTAATATACATTTTACTCCAGTGATGCCCTGTGCCTGGACTTGAGCATCATACTCTGCAAGCTATATTAACTTTAGTGAACAATGCCCATCACTGGGATTTTTCTTTTAGTAATTTGAAAAAGGCATGCATCAAACATGATTTCCATGAGTTAAATTTTAAGGTTAACAAATTACAAGTCTTCCAGATAAATTTGGATCCAAGTTTTCAGAGGTCCTGATATTTGTATTAGCACATAGACTGATACTTAATAGTGAGTTGAACACAGGCTGTTATAAAAAACGCTGTGGCAAGCTAATGGAAATGTTTTGGGGTTTTGCCTTAAAAAATGCTGCAGTTTGCAATAAACTTACTGAAGAAAAGATACCAGTATTGATTTAAAAAATGCTGTATGGTTATAAACTTATTGGAGGCTTTTATTGAATCCATCACTGCACATCTAAGCACAGCACAACTAAGCAACACTGTCATTTCAATCCATCATTTTGCAGAGCCTGAAAATGTTACAGATAAAAAAATGTACAAAAATACAGGATCGCTCCCTCACAGGAGCAGCAGTGGCCCCGGACACATCCTGCATGCAGCTATTAAAAGGTATTATGTAGATATTAAAAGATCACTTTATCAATACCAAATAAGCTCATTAATTCCTACATTAATAATGATCACATATGTAGTAGTATGTGACACATTTAAGGACAGTACTATTTTTGTTGATGCAAAACCCCTTCAAGTTAAATTCACATTCATTTCCAACTATTCAATGGTTATGCTATCAAAATAGTACTTCTGAAACTACTTCTTATTCTAGCTTTTAGGAACTTATATTAATGATTAAGATTGCCTTACAGAAGTGACAAAAGCAATCATGCAGTGCATAAATGTAACACCCTAATGACATTTCCCCAAATTTACATTTAAATAGAATTGATTATTAGAACTACATTGGGCTTAACAGCATGGAAGATTATAACATGATCAATCAGATTATGAACTGGACATAATTAATCACACTCATTAATACACATTATTAAGCAGTAGGGAATAAATCTACTTATATTCCCCATTTATTATGTTGTTACTGAATTTTCAATTAATACTGATGCTGTCTGCATAGCTTCCAAAGAGCTGACAAGCAGAAAATGTAGATACGTAACGAAAACCACTATAACAAAGAAAATATGTTTAAGATGAAACATTCTAAAAATTCCCAATATTTGATTAGATACTTACTTTGGAAATACTGTCCATGTCTCCTGAGCCTTAAATTAAAACAGACATTTTTTTTCAATTAGTTTTAAGCTGAATGTAATCTTAAGATTTTTTTTCCATAGTAAATATATAGCGTCACAGCAATACTTAAAAAACATAACCAATACTTAACAAACATAACCAATCATACTTCATCTCAATTCCTTCCCAATGTCTCTCTTAGTAAAAGTTTACAGGCAGTATTGAACAATGTTAGCCCTTTCTCTATGAACATACCAAAAACTGAAAAAAGAATAAGAAAACACTTCCGATCTGTATCTGTTATTTGGGTGGCATCCTTTCAGGATAAGAGAGCCAGCACAACTCTAGAAACCAGGGTACAGGTAATGCAATTTATTTGTGGTATTATCCACCAAGGGAGACGTTACATTAGCTGTATTAAAAAAAAAAAAACAACCACAAAAAAAGAGGCAACTAACTAGTAAAAACTGATGTTCCTGGGAAAAAAAAAAAAACAACAAACAAAAAAAGACCACTATTATCATTAAGGTCAGCTAGGAGGGTTTCATCAATGTCTTTGCTTGCAGAAGCAGAAGCCTACTGCTGAAACTGACTGGAATGACTTCAGGTTTTGATTCATTACAAACACTGATGATGGCAGTATCTTTCAGAAGAAAGCAGATGATCCTGAGGACCAGAGTAACAGAAATAAAATAAAATTAAATATAATGAGTGCAAGACTATTGAATTTTTTTCACATGCTGTAGCTCTCACTCTGGTAAAGCAAAGAAGAAATAAACTTTAGGATGAATGCATCAAAAAAAAGCATTTTTAGCATCAACAGACAGTAAACAATTCTGGTCGCCTGTTTTCAGGAAAGATGTATTCTACAAGAATACTGAATACAAACCCAGAAGAGTATCAGGGAAATCAATCAAGAAAATGGGAGCTGTGGAAGAAGACTGAAATAGCTTACTATATTTAGCCAGGCAAATTAAGGCTGAGAAGGAATATGATTTCTCTATATAAATACATCAGATACATAAATGTTGTGAAGAGCTATCTTGTCACAGCCCAAAGGATAAATTTTGGTGGAAATCAGGAAAAGGTTTCTATCTAAACATCAGAGCTATGAATAGATAACCATAGAAAGGTTATGGCCAAAGAAGTTGGAGAAGTTCAAGATGGACCTTGACCAATTTATCCATCTGATTATGAGACACAGCTGCCTACTGCAGCATGGAGTGAATGTAGAGGATCCCTTCCAGCCCTCTTCTCCTTAAAGAACTCAGGTTCCAATTTATATAGGATGTTACCCCTAGAAAGCAGTCATCATTAATTTGAGTAAGCACTTCATCTCTTTCCCTGGAGAAAATAACTAAGCAAATGCTTAGATGCCTGTAAAATCCTTCCACAACTGTTTCAATTTATTTTCTTTTAGCCAAAAATAATTCTCAGGCTGTAGAAACGTGACAGAAAAAGATGCTATTACCTTTTACATAATTTTTTATTTCTTTGAATGTAACGTGCATCATTTTTAGCTAAAGCAACAACCAATGTTAGGATTGTAATAGGTACAGAAAGGCTGTAAAATCACCAGGTGTCCTTATGCAAAGTAATCTAGGAATTTTGGGGACATGCTTTCCTAGGAAAAAAGATAATTCTATTAGGAGACAGATGCATACTGCTGAATTTTAATTGTTCAGACTGTGTCTGGTAAATAAGGTTTGATAGCTGTTTTTTTCTCAACCTTCCATAGCCTCTTCAGATTTCTCCCTTTGTCCTACCAGTTTGTATTTCCTGTCTCACAACCTCCAGCTTTTGGGCTGTGAGTGACTGATCTCCACCCTCCGTGGAAGTATGGACTTAAACCATGTGGAGTTTAGGTTGGTCCATGTCTGTGCTGGGAAAGTGACAGAGCTTTTCTCTGGGGATAACAGCAAAGGGAGCACCAGGAGCTTGGCTTCTGCCTGCCTGACCTGTGTTTAGCTTGCTTGGGTTTCTTCCCATGAAGAAAAACACTGCTCAGCAGGGTGTTGCTGGTGCCCCTTGTCGGAGGCACAAGAGTACACTGCTGGTGGACCAGGGGGATAGAAGAGAACCTAAAGAGCTTTACAGCCTGAAGTTCCACCCTGTTGCCTGCATGACTGGCACCCCTTGGTGCAGATGGAAGTGAAGAGTACAACACAAGAACTCTATTCAGAGCTATTTGCCTCATGTTAGGGTAGGAGCAGAAATAAAATCAGAGTATTTATTTACCTTGCAAGCATGGAAGAGGAAGGCGTAAGTGCAATTTATTTAGCTGTAGCTTGCTTCTTAAAATCTCTTTCAAACATCTATCAGGCTTCCAGCAAAGAGTAAGAGCAGAGAGTTTGCTAGGACAGTCAGGTGATAAAGCAGTGTATATTTTGCAGAGTTGTGCAAGGCTTCTCCCCTAGATACAAGTCCTTCCAAAATCACAGTGCCAAAAGCCAAGCAGTACACTGTTCCCCCTGCCTCTGCACGCCCTGACCAGAACCCATGTTCTTTTGGATGTGTTAAAACTGGCAACTGTCTGAAGCTGCTAGTGGGTACAGAGTAATAAACTTAACAGACATATGGCTAAGTATGGAACAAATGATGATATCTAACTGTTGGAATAAAACCAGCTTAACACGTACATCAAAATATGTAATAACTTACTTCCAGGTAATTTGTAAGAAACTGCATCAGCATTTCGCAATGACACCTCCCCAAGATTTTCGAAGAGGAACAGAGGTAAATAAAAATAGTTCTTAAGCCTTCACGTCTAAATTACAGTCATGGTATGCTTTCAGACTGCTTTTCATCAACTGCTATACTCTCTAATATAAATAAAACACAGTATTTTCTTCCAGAGGTGCCAACTCATTTGCTTAAAAGAGTATCCTAATACTTCTCACTAATGTATATACAGCTTTTTTAGGTTTTAAAAGGTTTTTACACACAGTCTTTGACGTAACTCAGAGAACTGGTCACAGAAAATGGCACTAGTCATAGAAAATTCACAATGCTTGTAATATTTACTGTCATTACCTAATGATCCATTCATATGATGTGAATCCATTCCACCCAGTCCACTCATAGGTCCATCTGACCCTGGCCCCATTGGAAACTATAAAATGACCAGACATTAAAAACTGATATTACTGTACAATTTTTTGTAGATAATCTAATAAAAAGACAGGATTAAAAACCAAAAATGAAACAACAACAACAAAACAAACAAACAAAAAAAACCCCAAAAACCAAAACAAAAACCAAAAAAAAAAACCACCACAAAAAAACAACCCCACCCCAAAAAAAGTGAAGGAAAAATGCACAGTCCTATGTCTGAATGCGCAAGTCAAATTAAAGTATTTCATGTGAAGACTGCGAAAACATAATTGTTTAACTTTTTCCAATATTACCTTCATGAAACTCTCACCTCTCTGTAGGCTGGAATATAGTTTAGGAATAATTTATTATTTACTTTGACACCTTGGGTATGACTTTCAAACCTGCTAGTGCTGACCTAGCTGTACTCTTATTGGGGTTACAGGAAACTTTTATGATCCCCTTCAATGAAATAAGTAAGTAATTAATTAACAGCTTTCAAGGCTCACCTTTATACTGGCAGTTGGACTGCTCTGCATTACCTTTGTGGAGTTTCTGACCAGTTTTAGATATTAATCTTAAATTTTATTCTTCAAATACTTAATGACATTAAGATCATAGAAAAAAATAGAATACACTGCGTTATGATTTAGAAATATCTAAATAACTGTATTTTTAGGTCTTACTGGCTTTTTCTTTTCTTCTCCAAAAGGCCCATAATATGGATCATGATTAAATGAAATGTGGTTGCAATCAAGAGAAATACAATAAAACTGAAGCCATAGAGAAAGATCAAGGAAGATTCAAGTTCTACCTGAGAATCCAGATTTTTGTAAGCACTAGAATTGCTGAAATTTAGGCTAAATAGTCAGAAGTTAACTACTTCCTTAGGCAAATATTGAAATGTTATCAATAGGTTTCATTCTTAACATCCCATTTAGACAAACAAGGAAGTTGGTTTCCTCTCAGAGGCATTCATATTGTCCTCTTTCACAGAGGAGCAGGGCAACATAATACTTCTGCAATTTTCTCCTCCCTTTTCAAGGATAGATACTTTGAACAGAAGTTTGAATCATGTTAAAACTAATGCTTATTGGCAGCTCCTAGGATGATGTTCTACCACACCAAAGTCTATTGCATCACAGACATCCCCCAAAATCCACATGCAGAGCTTCTAACGTCTTCTCTGTGTAGAATATGCTCCAATCTTTATGTTGCATGTATTGACATTTGTGAAACATAGAAAGGTACATGGTGATGGGAAGCAACTGAAGTGTCACCCATAAAAATGATAAACTTAGTATTAATGATATGTGATGGAAACATAGTGTTTGGATTAAAAAAAAAAAAGCTCCATAATTCAAAGAAGCATGTAACTAGAGTCATATTTACATTAGGTCTGTTGGGTCCAGGTGGTACTGCATTCATTAAAGTGTACATGTTGTCTCCAGAGTTGGTTGAATCTGTAATAAGAGATTATTTTAAGTGCTAATATGTACCTTTCAATAAAACTACTCACCTAATACACATCCTGTCATTTTGTTCATATTATTTCTTTGCCTGAATCACTGATACACAGTAGCAATATAATAGATTTCATTCCTTTTCTATCTACTGCTACCACACAACAGAGCTATGAAAAGAAATCATTGCAATGGTCCCTGAGTGACTATGTCTAGACTTTAGTTTTATGCATGACTGTTAAAAGGTTTATAAATCACCATGCAGCTATAACTGTTTAATTCCATAAAACCCTTTTTCCTGGAGCTCTGAATTACTTCACACATCTTCAATTCTCTCTATAGAACAGGAGTTTCTTATCAATACTTCCTGCAATTTGTTTTCCATCTGTAAAAAAATGTTAAGGAGCTTCTCATTATACAGACTTCAAGTTAGGATAGCACATGAAAAATTTTTATGTTCATCCATCTCAGTCTATTTGATTTTGGATATATCTAACTGTTCAGTGGAACACCATGGAAAGATCCTGACTCCAAGGACAGCTTTGTATCTTAATGGTACAGCATGGTGCAATGCTTCAGAAAACCTCTTTAAGTCCAAAATCAACAAAACCATTCTGGCACAGAATGGTGCTTAAGCCAGTAAGTTCTGTCAAGAGTTTCACTTGCCCTTATCAAATGCTGACACACCTATATTCCATCTCAATTCTTCTTCTGCAATAAATGCACATGAACATTCAGATGGAGCAACTCCAGAGCGGAAATGCAGGAGGCAACCCAGCTAACTGTGTGGTTGAACTTTCTTACCAATGCCTAAGAACCATTAGACACAGATTACTCATTCTGATCTCCAGCTCATCCCCAGTGCTAACACCTTTCATCAATATCTGTATGAAAGAGAAGGCAAAAAATGCAGCAGATGGTAGACAAATTATGCAAAACCTTTCCCAAAGGAACTTCCCAAGAGATAGGTCATGTAATGGAAAGGTTTGCTGAGAGGAGAATGAAAAAAGGAAAGTCTAAATACACCCCCAAGGGGACAGCATGATTTTAAAAAATACAAAGAACTCTGAAAAAACAGCAACACTATAGTACCTACAAAAAGAATAAAGAATAGCTTAGTACTCTGCACCCAGATCCTCCGAAAGACCGTTCCACCTCTTTGAACCAGAGTTTTGAGATTATGAATACAAACAAAAATCACTGCTGAGCTGTAATTAATTTTCAAAGAGGAGGTGACTGAGGAATTTTCGAGTTAGAAATAGTAAAAACAAGAAAGCTGAGCCCACCAAAATGTGTTGGAAGAGGGAATGCAGCCTGACCTCCTGTAAGAATGTATTTGTATGTACTATGGGAAGTTAAAATCAAGGTTTTTGTCTATTTCTTAACCTTTCTCAGACAAGTTTTCCAAGCATCAGTTCACCTTGGTGAATAAATAATTCCATTATATAACAGAGCACTATGTATCACTAGAACATTTAAATACGCTGTTAGCAGAAGTGGGGGTGGGACAAAAAGCTTTTAGCCTGAAGTTATCAAAGTAAGATTGGCATGTAAAAAGTTATTTTTAATGTTCAATGAGGTAGGCAAAAAGTTCTTCCACCATCAGATCCTTCTGCAACACACCTCCCTAAGTTTCCTCGTGTTCTGCTGGCTCACGTCAAAGTACATAGAGGCTGCCTGGGCCATGGGAACCTTTGGAGCTGGTTTGTCTCAGAGGCAAATAAATACCATGGCAAAACTCTCAGGTGGTCAGTTTCTAAGTGTTTTCATACTTTCAAAAGCAGAACCTCAAAACATCTTTGAGTCTGACTGAAAGTGGGAAAAACTGTCAGCAGAAGCTTCATTTGAGTAGCACACAAAGAGCGTAACATCTGCCATAACTGCAGTGCTGAGGTGGCAGAGGCTGTCCATGAGCTTGTTTTATGTTAAAAGGGACTCTGACTTTAAATGCCAGCTTGCACTAATTATCTTTTCCACTAATGATATGAACAAGGAAGCCCTGTGATAGTATTTAATGAAGATGTTACACTGCTGCAAGATGTTTTCATAATTACTTAACAAAATCCTCTACCCTCTTGTGCTGTAGAGGACAGCAAGAACATGTATGATACAAGGACTGAGGAGGCTGTAACATCACTGAGGTGAATGGGGGACCTCTTAGCTGGTGAAAGTGAGTTACAAAGGCAGATATAAGCCAAAAGGAGTAGCTACTGAATACTGATATTACACAAGGAGTAGCTACAAAAGGAGTAGCTACTGAATACTGATGTTACACAAGATGCAACTGCATCTTGCATTTTCGCAGGATTCTGTCCATGGGGGAGGACAGCATCCTCCCCATTCTGCAGTTCCACCTTGGTATCAGAATCTTTGCACAACACTGATGGAGGGCAATACTTACATCTAGCTGACCACCTATTAAGCCTTGAGAAGCTGGCTAGCCATCCCAAATACTCCCATCCTCCTCCTTGTTTCCTCAAACCTTGGTTGGAATGTGGCCAATCTTTTGCCTGGCCAAAATCTCCATGTGGTCCAAGTTGCAAGTTGTCCAAGTTGTGCTTCCTAAAATCCTTTACAATTACTTTTTATTATTTTGGAGTATATTTCAGTACCTGCAGGACTAGGCATGATAGGTGTTCCTGGTGGCCCTCCACCCCCTGGAGGACCCTAGAGAGAGCAGAGAATGTCAGTTGGAATGGAAGAAAAAGATACTGCAATAAAAATTGAACACAGTACAAATGAAAAGAAAAACAAAAAAGTACCATGAATGTCATGAATTAAATTGGTAAAAATATGCACATTTTCTGTTAAGCTAGCGAAACATCACAGTTTAAGATGAGGTAATGGGTCAGCAAGCTCTGGCACAGATTTCTGATGTACGTAGGTATACAGACCCAAGAATATCTGTTAGTCAATAACTCTGTGTCATGCAGTGAGTCAGATGAGAGAAATACTTGGAACAGGGCCCAAGACAATTATACTTAATTCCCTCAACCTGTTTTCATTACCAGTGTTTTTTCAGCTGACATTTCTGTTTTGTTGTACTCTGTTCACAGTCAGTGGTACAGTAAGTAATGTTTGCTAAGCGCTAAGCACAAAATATGGAGGTGTCCCATGGGACCAGAAGAACCTAATCACCTTAAGAATTGCCTTTTTAAGGCAGACTTGGTACCTTGATACTGTTGGCATCTAAATTCTGTCTGTACAATATCCTACAATTTTTAAAATAACATCTGTATAAAACATTTCTTCTCAAAGTACTAACAAATGGATTAAAAAAGTCAGAATAATGCTGGATACAGTCATATTAGTTGCCCAGACTGCCAACTCAAAGATAAACAAACAAACCAACCCATCAAAGAACATCTATTTTCTTAGTTTCAGGTATTTCTGTGTTACAAATCTGCTTATGACTAAAAGTTGTACACAAACTGCTTTGGTTGTTAAACAAGTGTTTAAAGCTTCTTTAAGAATTTCTGCAATAATATTATTCTAAATATCCTTACCACTTAGGAAGAACAGAACCATAGTGTATTGCTTCCTCTGTTTGAGATTCACTAATATTTTTAAGTAATATGAAAACCTAACAAATTCCAGGTAAAAATGTCTGTGTCAATAGAATACAATAAATGTTAACTTTCCATTATAAAAAATACACAGCTAGCAAAATTTTTCATTGCCATATGACTATTATTCTTTTAATCATTTTTGTTATAATTTAAAATAGCAGATACACTATTCCAGACAGGAATATGTTTTCAGTGGCACTGAATATAAAGGTTTAGCTGTCCCTGTCTGCTTATAAGACATTGCTGAGATTTGCTATAATTCACTGACGTATTTTGGAAGGTTTTAAGCAAGGTCACTGAGTAACTTATAGAGCATGCTAGAACACGGACTTGCTCCACCACAACACCCACAGATCAGCTTATAAAAATCAAGGCATAATCATAACTTCATTTCATACTGCCAGCAACCACATTGCTTTTTACCCGTCCCAAATTAGAACTGAATCAGAAATGAATGTGTTAGAATCTCGCTTGGCAAAACTGTCTGAAAGGCCTACTCAGCCCTCAGCAAGAATTTCCATCATTGCTGCTGCAGAGCAAGAGATTCCAAAGAAACCTTTGGATAATGTATAAGACCTTTCAGGCATCACAGAGCTGTCAGACATTTTATCTGCGTGCTTGAGCACTAAGCTCAATGACTTTTTGTTTTTTTTAGGTTTATATATATTTTTCAGCATAACATAAAAAGGTGTAGAAAGCACTAACTGTTCATTTATTAGAAAAGTTACTTATGTTCACTACTAACTTTTGCAACTGATGTTAAATTTGCATTTACTCTCATTGCTTGTGTGTTTCCTGCTCTTGGAAAGCCTCTTGGTATCAACTACTTTCACCCTTAGAATATATTCGTATCTAATGGAATTATTTCTCAAAAACTGTCTGACAAGCTAAGCAGACTGAGCCCTCAGAGTTTGTAGGTTCCAGATCTCAAATCCTTTGGCTAAAAAGTTGCTTTAAAAGCTCCCCAGCCTTAGAAGAGTACATGAGAAGTACAAATAATCCAAGTACAACAGTACAACGACAATAAAGAGCCTATAAGGATAAACACAGTTAATCTTTTGGGATAGAGACAAAAAACAGTAGTATATATTACAAAAAACCTTTTTGTTGATAGGTAAAGTGTTGAGAGGGTTAGCATTTTGTTTCCTTTTGAGTGACAGCTCAATGCTGGGCTTATTATAAAGTTTTAACAACTTACTTCTGAAGTACAGACTAAGAAAAAACAATGATACCAACTAATCCATACTAAATTAAGACAATATCTGTGAAATGAAGCCAGACAATGGAGAAAGAAAGAAGTTGAAAGTCTTTAGAAGTTAATTATAAAAACATAAATTTCCTTTAAAATGTGAGCTACAAGGACACATATGTATATCTTTAGGGAGATAAAAGCTTATTCTAAATTTTCAATTTTTTTTTGTGAAAAAGTTCAGAAACTCATACACAATATTGTGATATTGAGGAAACTGGTTTTTTTTTTGTCCCTTATTATGAAGGCAATATATTTTATTGGATATATAAGTGTTCACTGAAGTAAAACTGCACTCAGGGCAATTCTGATCAGACTGATAATGATTCTCCTAATAAACATCAACATATGCACCACAAACGGCAGAAAAAAAACTAAGTGCAGATCAGATGTTCAGTTCTCAACCAATACACAAGGGCTCTTCTTAACATTTGGACAGCTGTGTCTTTGCCTAAATAAAATGTAACATCCATTATAATAAGCAAACACACACGAGTGTACTTACTACATAGTTCCCAGGAGATGCTGAAGAGTACGGTATCTGTAATAGCAACAGAAACAAACCAGTAATTTCTTCTCCAGGGAGGTGGAGTCCATATATACATTTATGTGTAGCTGTATGTTATGCATATTTGTTTAATTTATTTCAAAGACACAGTTAAGGATCATAAAAAAATGCTACTGTTGTCAAAAACCCACCTCATCTTTTTAACAACTTGGCCTTGTAAGTAACTTCAAGTCAACTATCAGTACAGACACAAACCAAATTTAATATCCAATATTTCAAATAAAAATATTTCCATTTAAGAATAGTATGCCCTGGTATCCACTCAAATGAATACAAATAACATCATTCACCTATTTAAATGTCTGTAGGCTGAGGTCTCTTAACTGCTCTCCATTGTTTCGTAAGTGAGGCATGCATTTTTAACAGCCAGCATCACTTTTTAAAGATACCAGGTTACAGGCTCTAGTACCAATCCAGTTCTTGCATCTACTGCAATAGTCTTCTTATTCTTACTGTCAGAGCCACAGTAAGGTCTTTAAAGATCTGCAGTCTACAGTAAAAGGTTAAGCTATAAGATTAAGCTATAATGTTATTAAGGTAATATACTTCATAAGGTTTATAAAATTAAGCAGCACATACTTGCATTTAAGTCAAGAGGAGCGTGTACTGAATTTGTATGTTCTTATGTGTACTTGATATTGATTAAAGTCTTGACCTCAAAGGAAAAACAACTCTTTAACCCTAGAAGATACTAGTTTTCTTTCTTTGCAACCTACCTCTTCTTTTTTTTTTTTTTTAATTAAAGGACAGTATTTTATATTCATTTCAAACTCAGTTATGGTATTTATTACAGAGTATATCAGGAGAAATCCAGTTGCCTAAGAATAATCCAGTTTTCTTCTTCATGATGACCTTTGCAATTATGCTTTCTAGAAGAGCCAGGGACCAATACTATTATATCAGATAAGAATTAAGCAACTGCACTGACAAAATATAAAATTATTTTGCAGCATCACCATCTTGCATGATGGTAGACAACTTGTCAGACAGCTCAGTCTTATAAATACGTCTATTACTGGACTTCTCTATTAATTTCACAGAATTAAAGTATTTCAGCTAGCCTAACATCCATTTTAGTTGAGTACATGCAGAAGAAAACTGAGGAAGAGTTTCAGCTGTCTTTTTTTAATCACCCTCCCCCCCCCCCCCCCCCCCCCCCCCCCCAGCTGTCATTAGTAGAATTAAATAATCAAAATTGAGAACAAGGCTAGAAAGAACCAGGCTAGTCCATTAAGCCAGACCCATCTTATCCAACTGCAAGTGCTAAAAGATGTCACATTTTAATACTAATGATGTATCATCACTGAATGAAAACTACCTTTGTGTTTTCTGAAGAAAATCCAGACCATTGTTGTTCATGTGGGATGCCTCAGCTTCCTTCAAGCTGTTTTTAGACTACCTCATTTTGTAGTTGCCATGAAATTCAATAGAGTTCACTGCTTTTTACAAAAAACATTGAGAAATGGCTGATTTATTGCAAGGAATTGCTCTGTGCTTCTGTATTCCCAGATTTAGAGCAGCAAAATGTGCTTTTGTTATGTAAAATACGTGAGCACCCATTGAGCTGTGTCTTTAAAAGCTGTGATTTCTGTAGATCTTGCTGGGCAGATAGTATTGACCTAATTCATCTTAGTGGTACTAAAGGAAACAAAAATGTATTTTGAATATACCTCAGGATAACTTTTGTGTTATGGAAGTGCTGTAACTGATGTGAAGATGCAGAGCTATTGTACACAGCTGGATATCTGCAGGTCAATGAACGCTCTGTTCAGATGTGTTCCACACTGTACCTGCTCTGCACTAGGGTGCACTAGGGTTACAGGAATATAAAGCATGCAGTATCCTGTTTGATGAATGAACTGGAAGGTTTTTCCTGGTGTACTGATGTGAAATACTTCCTTAAATATAAGATCATGTCTTATATATTTTAAATATTTACTTACAGAGTTGGCATTTGTTGGGTTTGGCCAAGGTCTACCACCCCCAGGACCCCTGTAACAGAAGATGTAAGATGAGACACAGAACAATCCCCATCTTCTAACCAGCTCTTATGGAAGCAAATAAAAACAATCTGTTTTCAGAGTAAGGAAGGATAGCTTTTTCGAAATAGTGTGTTTGTTTATAAACCATAACTACACCAAGTCATAACTGCTGTAGCAAAATTCCCAGCGTTGCACTACTATTATCATTTAATCAGTTTATGAGTTGATGAAAGATAATTTATTTATTGTTACAACCCTGCCACTCACATTTAAGATACTTTATTTCCCGACCCATTCTGATACTTCTTTGCTTTTCAGGACAGGACCTGCCAGAATGGCACCATAAGGAGTTCTTCTCCAATAGCCACACTGCCAGAGGCTGCAGAGGAGATGGCACAGTTTTGCATTGGTCCCAAACACTTGCAAATTTAGGAAGTGCCAGACATTCCCCTTTTATATTCTCAATGCGACAACAATTTGAAAGACATTGTGAGTGTGTGTCTCTTGAAGTGTTTTACTTCTGCTCGCAGAGAATTTAACTCTGTGTTACATATATGCAACATGTTAATATGGCACAGAAGTTTTGCAAAGCGTAAAAAACAAGTTCCCAAATTCTTGTAAGTTCTCACAGGAGATTTTTCCTTGTACTCTCTTAACCTTTTCTAAAATATCTGGAACAAGAATCACACAGTCCATGAAAGTCTGGTTATAGTAGAGGCAAAGGCAGGAAGGTACTAAAATAGCAGTGTAATTTCAGGCATAGGAACAGTACTCTTGCTTAGATAATACCTTCCTGAAGAATTGAAGATGAATGCATTTATTCAGTATAGCTTTAGAATACTGCAAGTATGGTAAGGTTTTATTAGTGAAAGTGATGGTAGTACATTATATACGCTTTGAGAAAACTTGTATTTTTAAAAGAAGAAGCCACATTAAATCATTGTTACAACCTCTATCTGACAATAATTACAATAAATCTCATGTATTAACAACTGAATACATGTGAGTTTGTACATACTTTGAACATGTTCAGAAATGTATCTAAAAACGGTTTGCTACTTGAGTAAGGCAACAGAAGTCACAGAAACACATAATATATCCTAGAGCAGTCAAAATGGAGATTTTAAACATCCTTGTTACATTTGACCCAAGTGGTGTACACATGATGAAGTGGCAGCTCCCCAACAAGAGGGACAAGAGTTTTCACAGCCACAAAAGCCTTTTGATAAAGACAACTCTGAGGGGACTTCAGAGGGATAGTAAGGGCAGGGAAGGGAAAAAAGGAGGAGCCATGTAGATAGAGGACGTTTTTTTCAGATCTCTTGCTGTTATTTTAAGATTCTCACTATTAGCTGAGCTCAGAAAAAATAGTTTGATGGTTAGGCTTCATCTTTTAACAGTCCCTTATGAGGGATCCAAGCCATATGGGAGGTAAAATCTCCATGTTTACAGTAATAACATCGCAATAACTGTAATTATTCCTGAGATCATTAAGAGCTTGTAGTTATTTATAAATAAGGCAAAATCACTTTTGGAAGGCCCTGACAACTCAGAGGCAGAGCAGATGACAAAACTTTCACATTTAGAATGGCATTTTGGCCCCTTCAGCTTTAGAAAAGCAACATTAGCCATCACAGCTTCCAGACATGGGAGAGTGATTTAAATATAGAGAAGAAAGCAGGCTTTATTAACGAGTTCAGGAAGTTTTCTATCTATTTTAGAGTCTTGCAAAACTAAAACCTATTAAGTAGATAAGTTGCCTGAGGGATTTAATATTGTATCCTGTGGTGGCTTTTTTTATTACATTGCTGATGAAACTATAAAGAAATTAGTTCAAACACAACTAAACTAAATCAAGTGAAAACTTATTTATTTGCACCGATTTTGGTTTTGGAACGCCTTTCCTGCTTTATTTATTGGGAGAAAAGGGAGGTGAAGCAAGAAAAGGGACTCAACAGTACTCATGCTCCTCAGGTGAAATGGTCAGCATATTCAAACATTCAAATTTTCAGCAATTCCTAAATATTACAAGGTGAAATATGAGGTGCTCCTTCCCCCGCACCAAAAAAAAAAAAAAACAACAAACCAAACCAAAACACCGTTTTTTGTTTTCCATATACAATATTTGTTTTATTGGATCCTACTTTTCAGAAGAGAGCATGGAACTGCACTTGGGATGGATAAAGAGCCAACCAAGAGCTTGTGGGTCAGGATTGAAGGAAGAGCAGGGACAAGGGACATTACAGTGAGGATCTGCTACTAGGCCACCCAACCAGGAAGGCTGAGGATAAGGTCCTCAAAAGGGAGATAGGTATAGCCTCATGTTCACAAGCCTCATGCTCATGGCGACTTCAACCACCCCAATATCTGTTAGAGGGTCAACACAGCAAGGCACCAGCTGTCCAGGAGGTTCCTGGAATGTGTTGGTGACAACTTCCTACTCCAAGCAATAGAGGAACCAACGAGGAGGGGGGCCTGTGTTGGACCTTATCCTCACATAGGAGGGGCTGGTGGGGAATGCGACGGTCCAAGGCAGCCTTGGCTGTAGCGATCATGAGATGGTAGAGCTCAAGATCCTCAGGGGAGTGTGAGAAGAGTGTGCAGCAAGCTCACTGCCCTGGACTTCAAGAGAGCAGACTCTGGCCTCTTCAGGAACCTGCTCAGTAAAGTTCCATGGGATACAGCCCTGGAGGGAAGAGGGGCCCCCAAGAAAGCTGGTTGATATTCAAGGATCACCTCCTCTGAGCTCAGGAGCATTTGCATTCCAACAAAGAAGTCAGGCAAGAACACCAGTAGGCCTCCATGGAGGAACAAGGAGGTCCTGGACAAATTCCAGCATAAAAAGGAGGCCTACAGAGGGTGGAAACAGCAACATAGCCTGGGAGGAATATAGAGAAACAGTCAGAGCAGCCAGGGATCAGGTTAGGAAAGCTAAAGCCATGACAGAACTCAATCAGCCAGGGATGTCAAGGGCAACTCAAAAAGCTTCTATAGATATATTGATGATAAAAGTTAAGATTAGGCAAAATGTGGGCCCTCTCCAGAAGGAAACAGGAGACCTAGTCACCTGGGATGTGGAGAAGGATGTGGTACTCAGTGACATTTTGCCTCAGTCTTTGTTCGCAAGAGCTACAGCCACACTGCCCAAGTCTCAGAAGGCACTGGGAGAATGAACAACCACCTGCTGTAAGAGAAGATCAGGTTCGAGAACATCTAAGGAACCTGAAGGTGCACAAGTCTATGGGACCTGATGACATGCATCCACAGGTTGTGAGGGAACTGGCATATGAAGTGGCTATGCCACTATCCATCCTGAGAAGTTGTGGCAGTCTGGTGAAGTTCCTGTTGACTGGAAACGTAACCCCCATTTTTAAAAGGAAAAAAAGAGACCTAGGGAACGGAAGGCTGGTCAGTTGGTGCCCAGCAAGATCACGGAGCAGATCCTCCTGGAAACTATACTAAGGCACATGGACAATAAGGGGGTGATTGGTGACAGCCAACATGGCTTCACTCAGGGCAAATCATGCCTGAAAAATTTGGTGGCCGCCTGCAACAGGGTTGCATCATTGGTGGATGAAGGAAGAGCAAATGATGTCATCTAGCTAGAACTCTGTGCAAAGCATTTGACACTGCCTGTAGGACATCCTTGTCTCTACACTGGAGAGAGAGGGATTTGATGGATGGACCACTCCATGAGTAAGGAATCGGCTGGATCATTGCACTCAAAAGAGTTGTGGTTGACATCTTGGTGTCAAATGTGATGAGTATTCCTCAGGGGTCTGTAGCACCTCTGCTCTGGAGACAGGCTGAGAGAGCTGGGCTTGTTCAGCCTGGAGAAGAGAAGGCTCCTTAAGGGGAGACCTTAGAGCAGCTGCCAGTGCCTAAAGGGGCTACAAGAAACCTGGAGAGGGGCTTTGGACAAGGGCCTGTAGGGACAGGACAAGGGGAATGGCTTTAACCTGACAGAAGGGAGACTGAGATGAGCTCTTAGGCAGAAGTTCTTCCCTGTGAGGGTGGTGAGGCCCTGGCACAGGTTGCCCAGAGACGTTCTGGCTGCCCCATCCCTGGCAGTGCTCAAGGCCAGGTTGGACGGGGCTTGGAGCAACCTGGTCTAGTGGAAGGTGTCCCTGCCCATGGCAGGGGTTGGAACTGGATGAGCTTTAAGGTCCCTTCCAGCCCAAACTCTTCTACGAAATCAGGAATATTTCTACTAACACTGGAAGTCTGTTCTCACCCCAAAACCCTGAACTTCTTTGTGTGACATTAAGTAACACAAATACATCTAGCAAAAGCACCAAATGGAAAATAGCTCTGATGATACTACAGATTACTCTGAGCTACCAAAATATTAAAATGATGACTGAGATACATGATTGAGTTAAGCCACAGTGACATGGAAATTTAGGCAGCCCTTACGAGGAGACTGACAAACACCTTTCACCTAAAAAGCTGTTGGAATTTGAAAATTTACTGGAAGTCATGGGCAGCTCTAAGTATCGACTTAGAAAACACTGTTGCAGATTCTGCTGGAAATCCATATGGTTTTTGTAGAGCCAAATACTATTAGCTTATAAAACACACATTTAAAAAAGCTACCTGTGTATTTTTTTCAATGCAATGCAAACAGGGGGCTTTGCTCTTTATTAAATGTTTAATTTGGATGCATTGACAGTGTCATAAAACATTATTATCAGTGTACCAGTTTCAAAATGGAGTGATTTATGAAATAGCTAACACTATGACTAATAGCAGCTGCATTTTATCTTTAAACTTAGTCCTATACTGCTGATCCTAGTTCTTGGAAAATAAAGTCTGAAGTTGCAGTTTCCAAAGGGGCAAATATAGTCAATCAGGAAATTAAACTCTGAGACGCAGTTTATGAATTGAAGTCAAAAAACAAAATCACTTTTTTTTTTCCTATTCAGGCATGACTGAGATATTCTTAGTGCTTGGAGACAGCACTGCAGGTCACACAGGCCATTAAAAGGTGCCAGTGAAATGCTAACACTGATCCCTGAAATTTGCAATTTTGTTCCAAAAACAGCATTTTTTCACAAACACATAAAACCTTACTAAAACAGGTTACACAAAGTTTCAACTTCAAACGTCATGGTAAAATACAATAAACATGTATTAGCTGTTTCAAAAGTAATCTGATAAGCATTAGTTATGATGGAGCAAGCAATTATTTAGCAGTACTACATTTGTGGAGTATATGCTTTTGGACTCAAATATTATCAATAAGTTCACAAGCTGGTTGTTGCTATTTTTTACAATAAGGACACTTTTTTAAATTGCAGTTAGTAGTCATCAAAGCATGTTACTCGTCAAAGCATGTTCTCCTTGTCTTATCCCAAATGTTACTTCTGGGTAATCCTTTTGTGGGTAATCCCCAACAAACTGCCATATCCCAAATGTTACTTCTACAATGAAATAATGATTTTTCTAAATATGGCAAGATTTCATTATTATACTTACATGTTCATTCCAGGCATCCCTGGGCCACCTAAAGCATTCAGTGGGGGTCTCATTGCACCTCCATAGTTCTGCAATGATAACCAAGGATCAGACTACCACAAAACAAAAAAAGAAAACCAAAGAGGAGGGGGAAAGAAAGGACAGCAGGTTAATGATATCCCTACATAACTGCTGACTGGACAGGCCAATGTAATTCATTCTTTCAGGAGTTTCCATTGTTCACTTCAAAAAATAACACTGTTAACCCCGCAAGAAAGACTTACAATACAACAGAAATAGACTAAGAATTGCCAGTTGTTTCAGGAGGAATTATTTACACATGCAGAAGTCAAGGCAATGGCCAGCAAGGGGCAGGCTTTATAACGTATTTAACTTTTATATAAAGGGAACTCATTCAAAATCAGAAACCTAGACTTAAATTCCAAATTTCTACATCATGGCATTTAAATAGAATTATTTTTAATTACATTTTGTTAAGATGTCAGTAAGTGCTTGCATAAAATTACACTATATCACTTTTATAACATACAGCATAATCATTAAATTTCTTTTCTAATCAGTCGATTCTAGTACTATAGTAAGTACAATGAATGTCATAGCACTGCTAACAAATGCACTGCCCAATGCCTACAAAATCTGAGTTTATGCTCTGACATTATGACAGAAGTTTAACTGTACTAGTTATGAGAAAAATAAATTATACCTATTTTCATTCAAAGGAATACAAGCAAAACAGTCTGGGAGTCATAACAGGCTCCCTGAACTATATTAATCCTGCTACATTTTTCTGATATTGCAAAAGAATAGATAATAGAAAATTCTCTACAATGGACAGCTATCTATTTTCGAAGAACGTGGGAATGAATAAGTAATTTTTTTTTAAAAGTAGGTTGTTGTTGCAGTCTGTTTTCCTCTAATAAAACCTATTTCATGTATGGTATAAATCAGACATGGTTTATAAGCTGCATAAACTGTATCAGTCATACTTATGGGTGTTCTCTAAATCAGTCTGATTCATAAAACCATATAAACATGAAGTCATGAATGGGAGAAATCCAACAATGATAGTCAAAGTGTGGGTCTGGTGATGCTTATATTTGACTGATATGATATGATCAGTTATCTAGAACTGATCTAGAAATGATCAAGAATTAGGAGAAAAGTTTCTGTTGCTGAAACAAAAACCCCAAACTAAAAAATCTCTTAATTGTTAGCAATACTGAAAGAGTTTCATCGATAGCTGGTTTACAAGAATACAACCAGAGGGTGCAAACGTCCTCTTCCAGACTCAGCAGTGATATTCAAGTTGCTGGTCATCAGTAACTACTTATCCCGCCTTTCTGTACCAGCAGGTAGACTGACTGGTGGCACAAGGTAGCCAGATTAACTCCTGTTTAACCTAAGTTATCCTAAATGATTTGCCTGAGCAACTGTAGAGGAGTAAGTGATGGCTAGTCAAAACAGCTGGGCACAGTGACAACCCCAGCTGGCAGTGCTGGATCTGGAAGAGAAAACAGTCTGACTAACAAGACAGCAGCTCTGTATCTGGTTTATTTCATTTTTCCATCCTCATGTGTAGGGCCAAGACATTCTCCCTGTTTGGTATCTCTGGTATCTCCCCTCTTTATCTTAATTCAGGAATCATTTGTGCGGATTCGGGTTAGAGATCTCTATGAAATCCCACAGGACTCAAAGAAACCTAATCAAATGTACTTCTAACTCTAACTGATGCAAATTCTAATCATATGTACTCCTCTGTCCTAAAATAAGAGCGCTTTCATTAAGGCTACCAATATACATGTTCCTTCATCTGCAGCTATACTCTCTACAGAAGTTAGTGCCCCAGTTTGCTCCTTACAGCTTTTAACTCTAAGTCAGCACCACCACTGTTTATCTGGCATTTGAATTATTTGGAAAAGTGCTCTTTAACATCAGGTGGCCAAAAGGAGACAGATTAGCTAAAACCTCTTACTTAAATATTGAAGATGACTTAATTCTTTTTGTCTGGAAAGCAGCAGGGAACGTGGGAGGCTCACCAGCAGATACAAAGGATGGGGAGAAGTAGTAGTCACAGACTGAGGGTAGGACCCCATTCATCTAACATAGCTGTATCTTGAAAAAAGCCTCAACCTAATTCTCTGAACTTCTTCATAAATTCAAGCATTTACAACTATCCACTTTTTTTTGTTTCCTGTTATTTAGTTTGAAACAGTCTAGAATCATAAAATACAAATCTCAGGTAAATTTTCTTTAAGTTTTCTAGCACATGCATGCTATATTGAACATAAGCATTTCTATATCAGCACATCAACTGTTCTGCAAGTTGACTGCCTGTGCAGCAAGGTAGCACAGCTTCCTACTACAGTCACACCTAAGTCAACTTTACAAGAGGATGTTAAAAGTAGGTGAGAGTCATCAAATTTTGTTTTAGAACTGTATTCTGAGAAGATCCTAAAGGCCAGAAACAAAGATAGATGATCCATTTACAGAAAAGATCAATTTGCAAACTTAAATTTTGTGTAGATTATATTTTTCCCCATTTTAAGAGGATGTTCAGTATAAGAGAGAAGAACCTTACAAAACCACTAGATTTTAGGAGACAGCAAAAATGTAAAAATCATTCTTGCAAAAATTGGCATGAGATTTGCCAGCTATGTGACTAATGGTGCTGAATAAAGTATCAGTTCAATCTCATATGGCAGCATTGCAAAGTTTCTCTTCCTACCTCCAAAAGGCAAGTGGCAAATATACTTCAGTGATACAAAAAACCCCAACAAATGTATTGAATAATATAATAATATTCTGTTGGTCACACAGCAGATATAGCATAGACTGCACAACTGATTTCTACCCAAGAAGACCCAAAACTGTAAAGACTTATGAACAGATTTGAAAAGCAAAGCTATTTAATAATTTAAAATTCAGTTGCTATTCCAAAGAATAAAGAACTCTCTAGAGAGATTATCTGAAATGGGGAAGTAAAAATGCAAAGTGTGGGCACAAGCAGCATGCTGTAAAACAAAATACTGGCAACACTGGTATGAAATACCACCACCTAAATCTTCTCACTGACAGCACTGACAAAACACAGAATAATATTCTGGATTCATATTTTAGGTACACATCAGAATTAATTTGTTTACTGCTGAAATGTAATACTGACAAATATCCACTCATGTTGATTTGAAGAAAAAGCCTATAAATAATTAGCACCTTGGAGAAGGCTGATTCTTGCAATGCAAGGTTGCTTTGGATGTCAGAAACAGAGCTAGGGAGATTCTTCTGATTGACAAGGGGGAGAAATGGCAGCATGAAATTCTAATTTTACATTAAAATCTCACTAGCAGTCCCCCAAAATATAGATCAACAGTAGATAAAAGAAAAACTTTACAGAATTTTGGGGGTATTTTTGGTACACAGAGTTTACCTAAGTTAGATATATCAATCCTTTCCTCCTAAATAGTATAATCAATTACGCTGGGAGGATGAGGAAACACTTGGTCTCCTTCACAAACGTCAGCCTACAATGGCTGTAGAACAAACAGAACTTTTCTGAAGTAAGCAAGGCAAGGGATTCCTCTTTTAATTTCAAATCCTAATTGAAATGACTGACAGTTTTATTTTAGACTTTGTACAGCCGCAACTCAGTATTAGCTTTTGTAAAACAGAAAGTTTATTTTAAAACAGGATTAGAAGAACAAGTCCTGGCCATCTTCAAGCTACTGAAAGCCAGAGTAACAGAGTCAGTATAGGCTTATCAATAAAAATGGGCATCTATCTGTGGAAGGTACCTGTGGTCCTAATGGAACCATTCCTCTTGGAGGAGTCATTCTCTGCATTGGCCCACCCATGTTTGGATGCCCTGCAAATAAAATTGTGCAGCTTAAAAAACCATGCAATACACAAGCACCTTCTAAAACAGCTTTAACATATCACTCATTTTTAATTAACAACAGCTTAAGAAGCTGCAGTAAGCTTTGAAGCAGGAAAAAAAACCACAAGTTTGAGAAGCCAGTGCTTTTGAACAGTCCGAATAATTATTTCATTCACCTTGCTGCCTTGTTGGGTCCATCCCACTAGGCAATAATGGCTGACTTCCTGGGACACCTCCAAGAGCCTGCAGGAACAGAAACCATGTTAAGAGCATACACTCCTTTGAAATTTACTTTAAAGATGCAATTGCCTAATTCGCACCTCCTCTGCCCACCCTTCACTTCATCTTACCTATTATTTAACCTCCAAACAGTGCCTTTTTCTTCGGTACATACCAATTTATCCCAAGCTTATACTGTTACAGTTTTCCTTTTTAACTTCCTTTTTAAGCATTATTTTAACATTTCCTTTCAGAAGTCAGGATGCAGACACGGATATCCTCCAAAAGTGAGCCGTAACTGAGCCAACTGTACAGTATTCAGAGTGTACAGATAGTGAGCTGTAATGTGGGGGATATTTTATCTTCCACTCTGCCTTACTCTTCTTGAAGGGCACCAATGCAAAGATAAGCTTATTATTCATATACAGGATATAACAACTGTCACAAAACTTGCTCCTAAATCTTGCCTTGATACATTAAGGTACATTGTGTTGTTACTTCACTTCTGGTCCAAATCAAACACATTGCTTTTATGTCCCCACATTTTAATCCAACTTTTGTGTTTATAGTAACTGAATTAGGTTTAAGGCTAACTTCTATAGTCTCTCACCTGTAGTTTAGTCGACAAAAAAGAAGTTTTTTTATGAATGGGTCTTCGTGGCTGATCCACCTAGCATTTCAAAACACCACCACATTTTCAGTGAAAATGTATCCAGATTGAGTAAATCTGTTACTTGAAAGTAATCTACTCAGGCAATACAGGCAATGCTTACTGTGGGAATGGGTAAATTACTCTTGAACAGGAAACACCACAGTAGTCTCGGATATATACAAAAGGGAACTTATCTGCAAATACTATAGAGTGCGTTCAACAAGAGGCAGGAAATTCACAATTAAAATGCACATTATTTCCTCTAAGGTAATACAGCCAAAAGGTACTGCACTGCAAGATTAATGGAATTCACAAATAATCTGCAATGATGTCATCTAAATCAGAGTTTTATATGTACTTCAAAGGCTTGAAGTTAGGATAATGGGTAAGAACAATACATGAAATGTATGGAGAAGTGTCAATTACCAGCAAAGCAGGAACTTGTCACTTCTGCCAAAGATGGACACAGAAGGAGAAGGAGGCATTTGCTGCTGTGAACACATGTGACCAAAGCCTTATCTCATGCAGTCATTACACTGTGGATCATTACATGAGGGACCACAGTTCCTTTTTAACACATCAGACTACTTCCCAAGAAAAACAAGTGTTCTGCACAGCACAGTGCATTGCCAACAGCAAATAACTCTGTAAGTCTTGATCTTGTAGGATATGATCAAGTACTGGAGGCAACCTAGGGGTATTCATGCCACACTCAGTACTGATTTTCCTCCTACAAAGCCTAGACTAGCTCAGATAACCCTTACACAGCACTGTACAGTGCTGTGCATGCATGTCCTATGTTACCTTCCTTGACTAAGAAACACAATCCCTACTTCAAGGCATTAAGGAATAAAATGATAGTTAACAAGAGAGAATTTTAACTCTGATTTTTTACTGACTTCCATCTAATCAAAATTTCAGCCTTAAAGCTGCACTACAGTAGTTTATTACTTCCACACATTGCCCATCTATACTGTAACTTAAATAATGTCAGTGTTGCTAAAAGCAGTAATTCATTGATGTGGCATAATGTAAGTGAATGGCAAGAGCAGTAATTCACTGAGATTATGTGATTATGTTACAGCTCTGAACTCAAAATATCACAATTTGCAGACAAAAGCACATCTGAAACTGAAACTGCAGGTTGGCAGTGCTTTCACAGCACTCACCAACCACATCCTGCTTCTACCTGCCAGCATTTACAGTGTTCAGAAACAGAAAAACAAAAGAATATGTGAAACCCAAACACTGGAGTGTTTTTGGCTAAGGTATTACTGAGAAGTGTAAAAATAAATAAGATATTTTGTACTGAGTTATAGTATATCTGTAGCAAAGATTTAACTGATGCTTCAGTTGTCCCTTGATGACAACTGAATTAACCTTCTGCAAGGTTAATTAAGTCACCCGTTTCCCTTTGTGAGAAGCAGCTGTGGTACAGGTAACTTAACCTGCTCCTAAACATCATCGTGTTTGATGTAGGGGAATATCTGAAGATGTCTTGGCACCTGGTATGCGCAGTCCACTCAAATTTAAACTTCATGCTTTCTGATAATATGCCGGTGCTAAAGATAAGTTTGTTCAGGTGTTATACAGACCCAAAAAATAGCCAGCTCACTGAATTGTGACCAGAAATTTGGACCTGGAGTCTAAGTTGGACCAAAACACCCATTCCATCTATCTTATGACCTTTCCCAATATCTCCTCTAATTTCTTCCTCTATCTGCACCAAGGAGAACCTAAAAATACAAATGCTATCTGCTTTCAGAACCAAACAGCAGCTTGTAACTCATTCCTGTTACGCTGTCATGCATATCCTTTTTGGAAATGAGAGAAATTGGGAATTTGATGATTTTATCAAGACTTCAGTGTCTCTAAGAGCCATAAAGCACTTCACAGTCTCTCCGTCTCACCAATAATCTTCATATTTACTAAGAAATAAATATACTTCATATATCCAACAAAGATTAGGAGAGAGGGATGCATTTTACATAGAATTAAGTAAAAAATATTCTCAGAGCTAACTACTTGATGGGTGGTTAGGAACTTTAGAGAGTGTAACAATTATGGGGACATTCTGCCTCCATCTCAGAGGAGGCAGCACTGACTGGAGGTTAATGCAGCACAGCACAAGGCAACTACATACTCCCTCTGCAAAAAGGCTTAGCTCACAATTTTGAGGCATAGACAATAATTATGCATAGGAAAGTCAGCTGGGAGTGGCATGGCTGCACCTTATCAAAATGACTAATGGTCAGATAAAATGCAGTGGGGAAGGACTGAATGAGTTTTGTAACCCACAGGTCCTTGAGAGCCAACAAGACAACATTCCCTGTCCCCACCACTGTACCATCCATCACCCTGGATGATAATGCATCAGTGATAAACTCTTACCTGATTAGGTATTCTTAAAGGTGGCCTTGGACCTCCAGGGTACCGAGGAGACATGAAAGGCTATGAAAAACAAAGAAATACTGTTAAATAATTCAACATAGTTTGCAAATACCACATTGAGTCATTGGGTGTATGCCTTGTGCCATGCTCATACCTCAAGCATCCAGCTTAAATACTTCCACAGAGCATTCAGTACATTATTCCACAATGTTTTGCAGAACTAAATAAATTTTGAGATGCATCTATTTAGAACTTTGCTACAGCACTTGTGAATGCAGAATATAAGCAATGCATTAACAGTGTAGAATAATAAACTATTTAGATCACATAATCACACACCTATACTTTCCACTGCAGAAGGGGAAAAGAAACGAACCCTGCAATAGAAAACAAAAATGTTCTTGGAAAAGTAAAGAGGTAAGTAATAGCATAAAAATTCACAAATACTTTCCATTCACTTTTTCTTTATAATACAGTAAAATGTAATACAAGATTGTGAAGACACAGATTTCAAGTTTATGTTGTTCCATTAACAATATTAATTCAATGTTGCACTTGTCCCATCCTCCATATGCAACTCCACGCTCACGCAGTACATCTCCTCTCTCAAAGCCAGATTTATACCGCAAATCTGTCATACCATCCTGCAACTTGTGAAGTTCTAGTGTCGCTTGATAACTACTATACTACATGATTCACAGCCCATGTGACAAAGAAGGTCAGTGTCTTATAATAAAAATATAGTGGTACCAGCAAATACATTTAACATCTCTACTTATTCCACCCTAAAGTGTGACAATAATCTAGAAATCTAAATAGCCAGGAGGTTAGTGGCAAGTGTGAGATCTACATACAGGAAAAAAAGGGATAAACATCTGACTAAACAGATGATGAAGAGGAACATTTTGGCAAGCAAGCGTACCTATAACTACAGAAGAAAATGAAAAGCTAAAAGTATGCTCTGACTGTGAACACGGGGACAAAAAGACTGACTCTTTGTATTGCAAAAGAGCTCACTTCTGTTCGTGACACTGCCACTGGAGACAAAGGAGAGATAAAGGAAAGGAGTCTGCTGGGACTGCCCAGGAGCCATCTCTAATAACAAAGGAGCTACTGCACTTTTAAACCCACTCTTTGGTGTCTCTTTGGAAAGAAACAAATATAACTACACAGGCATCATCTAGTTAGTGTAGCTATGGACCAATGAATGGCGTATTTCAGCTCCATCAGCACTACTGCGTTATAAACTAAAATGCCAGTGAAAAATCAATGCTAGTAATCATGTATTAATAGTAGCAATAGCTAGCAAAAGAATTATTTTACCAATAATTAGTAAAGGATTTTTTCCTATTATCTTGAATAAAAAAATTAATAGATCCTTTCACATCTTAGAATCAGATGAAAGCTGAAATAATGTAACCTATATAAACATGAATTCAAAATAGGTACTAGAAAGCAATTTTATATACAGAGGATTTACAAACTGAAGAAGACAGTTCACTGACAATTGAAAAAAGATTATTAAAAAAGGTATTTGAAATTCTGTGCTACAGAAGAGGGAGCCTTCCTTCATGCCCTTTCGCTGATGGTGAGAATCTCTGATAAGAAAGAAAAAGAAATTAAAAAGCGTTCTGCATGTGGTGAAGGCTGTAAACATGCAGGCCCTTGTAAAGCAGTAAAAGCATGAGAAAATTATAATTTCAACAATTTCCATAAAGGTCAACCTAGTGCATTATCTGGGCTGCAGCAAGATACTCTGGAGAGCATCTTAGATTTGCCTTACCTCATTCAGCAAATGAAACCTTAACTTTATTTACAGTTGTTCATAAAAGGGAAATCAGCAGTGTCTCTCAAGTCAACCATATCTTAATATAGAATCACACTACTAATATTAGTATATAACCGTGTGTTATTGGCAGAACATTGCTCCTTTCAAGCACAGTGTAAACCTACTTGTCCCTCTCTCCCCAGTGGGTTCACCTTTCTATGCAGTTTATAAAAACATCCCAAACTGTACTTTTTTTTCACAGAATTGAAATTTTATTAAAAACAATGACACAAATACCCCAGTACAGTAACAAGAGAAAAAAGCTTACTAACAGAAGTCACAACTTCACTGTTCAAAAGATGGTTTCCGATGCCTGACAGTAAGCCTGTATGGTTTGATTTGCCGTGACCTGATGTGAGTAGCCACCTCAGATTTTTGAGAAGGTCTGGCTCCAGGCAGGTCTCAAGCCCACTAACTTAAAACTGGTGGTCACAGTTGGTCAGTGTAGCACTTGTCTTCTGAAGACAAAAAACTGATTCTTCACATGTTTAAGAAACAAACATTTCTTCCTGCTACCTCAGACTTGTGCCAAATCAAAATTCAGCACCTGTATACTGGAAAACCTGTAATGGATTCCCACACTAAATTCTCTCCTTATTTGCCTCAAAAGTTCAGTGGCGGAAGTAGACAGGTGCCATGCCAGTGAATCAAAGACTTCCTTGCTCACCCCAGCTAGCAGAGAGGAAGAGGGCTGTCAGCAATAGTTAAAAAAGCATTTCTTCCACCTAAAGATTAGATGCATATGACTTATAAAAAAAAAAAGTAATATCGTATGCTATACTCATAGATTATGATTATGTATTGTACAATATATAAAACCATATATCATCCTACATAAAAACGTAATACATATAATAATATATCATAATGATATATAAGTGTATGGTATTATGCGCTATGAAACTAAAATAATAATTTATAATAATGAAAAATTAAAAAATAATCAGTATTAAAGTAGAAAAAATAAGAAAAATGCCAAAAAATAGGAAATAAAATTAAATAATACAACAACTTTAGCCATTAGGTAGGAAGAAGACAGAGTGGAGCAAAAGATTATCTCCCAGAGCCTCTCTGTGCATAAGGATACTCTCCAAATATATCTGGCATTTCAGGTCCAGATTCTGCTTAAGATGTTGCAAAGCCTGTCTATGGGAAACCAGTCTCTCAAAGCTGATCTGACTAGGGCAGAAGAGTATTACCAGAGTGGCTCCCTTCGACAGTAATTTCCAGAGGCTGAAATGGCTCTCAAGGGTTTCCAGTCACCACTGCAGCCTTTCAGTCACTGCCACAGGGACATTATGATGAGTACAAGGAGGTGTAAACAACACTACTACACACCATCCTCAGCTACAGTTTACTTCTCCAATGGAGTTCAGGAACTGATACATATACCAGTGTATTAAACACTCCCCCCCCCCCCCCCCAAACAACAACAACAAAAACCAAACAAAAAAACACAAAACCAAAAACAGAACAAAAAAACTCACCAAAACCAAACCCCAAACAAAAAAACAAATCAAACAAAAAATTAACAATGAAGTAAAACAAAAACAGCAAACAAACAAAAAAATGTATATAGAAAAGAATACGAAGAAAACAAAAGAACAGCAAGAATGTCATCTCTAAGCCACAACTGAGCTGGAGATGTCACCAGCGTTTGAAAACGCCAATGAAACACATCTGTGAACATCACTATAGTGTAATTTCTGCCTTCAGGTATAAAATTCAGTAATTTTGTATCACAGGAAGCATCCTGAAGGCTGCTGTTATGCAGAAGCTTTGGTCTAAAGCCAGAAGTCTTTATTATGCAGCAGCTTTGGTCTAAAGTGGGTGAAAAAGAAGCCAGAGAAGAAAAAACTTTCGTGCAGTTACTGCAGACTATATGGACCATATCAACTTAAAGAGGAAGAAAAGCCCACCTAAAGGAGAAAATTACTAAAAAAGAATATTTAAAAAATACTAAAAGAATACAGACTACACAAAATAAAATCAAGAACAGAAATGTCAAATTTAGTAAGCTCCCTGCTCTTACTTATAGCATCCTATCAAGCTGAATTGTTAAAAATAAATTCTTGTTATTGTTAAACAATTGCAACAATTGTTGTTGTTGTAATTGTTAAAAAAAAAAGGTCTTGTTAAATACAAGAACTGTGTAATTATTACTCTTGTCTTTTTTTAGTTGTTTGGATGATTCTAGAATATGGTGTGGTTTAGCTTTCTTGTAACTAATACCAGTAGAATAATAGAATTTTAAAAGACAGTGTTCTACTAAGTATGACAGATTTCAATAAATTTATTTATATTTACATTTACTTCCCTTCCAAAAGCTGGGGAAATAATTTACTTCCTTCAAAATATAGTGGGTTTTTTTTGCATTGACATTTTCATCCTTTTTCTACTCATTTAGTTACATTTATCAACCATGTTTTGTCACAGATAAATTGCAAAATTTACAATAATCCACAGTCAAATGACCAATCCTAAATATTGCTCACATTTCAATTCCTACTGAGACTGAATTCCTGATGAGATTGAATTTACTGTAAATATCCATATCTATTCCAATACATACATATTACATGATACCCTATGAGTTGTTATACTGGATACCACAACTTTATGTAAAAAACACACACACATCAGGAAAATACATAAATGTAGTTCAAAAAGAATCACTGCAATTACTGAGCATGAGTAATGGGGAGGCTGCACGTATCTGCAAACTGTAGAATACCAAGAGCCAACATGCTAAGGAACAAAGCCTGGGCTGAGGAGTACAAAATGGAATGCATATCACTTAAATAAGAGAACCCTGTCACCATGGCATGAAAAAACCCCACCTTTTTCAGGTAGGGTAGCTTAAAATAACAACGCTCATCAAGATTAGATTCACATGAATGTCTTCCTAGGTAGGGGTACCTAAACTTTTTTTCAACTCAAGAAAAAAGTTTTTTGTCTGGTCAAAGCAGGACATAAGGTATGTTTTCAAGCACACCACCAGTCTGGTTTAAAATTACTACATTTAAGGACACTGCAGAAAGCAGGGCAGTAGCTCAACCAGTCCCAAACAGCTCTATGCAGACCTGGAAGAGGATGCCCATGCCACACTCTTACTGCATGCTTAGGAAAGCAGAGGAAAAGGTTCTGCTCGCACCAGAGTGCTCTACAGGGCTTTCTCAAAACACCCCTAAATTCATGATCTTAGAAGCAAACAAATCCAAGTAATAACTCT